CATAGTATAGTATGGCAATAAAGTGTCAAAAAATGTCATAGTATAATAAGGCATAAAATTGTCAAAAAATGTCATATTATAGGAAGTCATAAAAATGTCATAGTATAGCAAGCCATAAAAATGGCAAAAAACGTCATAGTATAGCAAGGCATAAAAATGTCATAGTATAGTAAGGCATAAAAATGTCATAGTATAGTATGGCAATAAAGTGTCAAAAAATATAGTATAGTAAGGCATTAAAAAGTCATAGTATAGTATGTCATCAAAATGGCAAAAAATGTCATAGTATAGCATGGCATAAAAATGTCAAAAAATGTCATAGTATAGCAAGGCATAAAAATGTCATAGTATAGTAAGGCATAAAATTGTCAAAAAATGTCATAGTATAGCAAGGCATAAAAATGTCATAGTATAGTAAGGCATAAAATTGTCAAAAAATGTCATAGTATAGCAAGGCATAAAAATGTCATAGTATAGTAAGGCATAAAATTGTCAAAAAATGTCATAGTATAGCAAGGCATAAAAATGTCATAGTATAGTAAGGCATAAAATTGTCAAAAAATGTCATAGTATAGCAAGGCATAAAAATGTCATAGTATAGTAAGGCATAAAATTGTCAAAAAATGTCATAGTATAGCAAGGCATAAAAATGTCATAGTATAGTAAGGCATAAAATTGTCAAAAAATGTCATAGTATAGCAAGGCATAAAAATGTCATAGTATAGTAAGGCATAAAATTGTCAAAAAATGTCATAGTATAGCAAGGCATAAAAATGTCATAGTATAGTAAGGCATAAAATTGTCAAAAAATGTCATAGTATAGCAAGGCATAAAAATGTCATAGTATAGTAAGGCATAAAATTGTCAAAAAATGTCATAGTATAGCAAGGCATAAAAATGTCATAGTATAGTAAGGCATAAAATTGTCAAAAAATGTCATAGTATAGCAAGGCATAAAAATGTCATAGTATAGTAAGGCATAAAATTGTCAAAAAATGTCATAGTATAGCAAGGCATAAAAATGTCATAGTATAGTAAGGCATAAAATTGTCAAAAAATGTCATAGTATAGCAAGGCATAAAAATGTCATAGTATAGTAAGGCATAAAATTGTCAAAAAATGTCATAGTATAGCAAGGCATAAAAATGTCATAGTATAGTAAGGCATAAAATTGTCAAAAAATGTCATAGTATAGCAAGGCATAAAAATGTCATAGTATAGTAAGGCATAAAATTGTCAAAAAATGTCATAGTATAGTAAGGCATAAAAATGTCATAGTATAGTATGGCATAAAATTGTCAAAAAATGTCATAGTATAGTATGGTACAAAATTGTCAAAAAATGTCATAGTATAGTAAGGCATAAAATTGTCAAAAAATGTCATAGTATAGTATGGTACAAAATTGTCAAAAAATGTCATAGTATAGTAAGGCATAAAATTGTCAAAAAATGTCATAGTATAGTATGGTACAAAATTGTCAAAAAATGTCATAGTATAGTAAGGCATAAAATTGTCAAAAAATGTCATAGTATAGTATGGTACAAAATTGTCAAAAAATGTCATAGTATAGTAAGGCATAAAATTGTCAAAAAATGTCATAGTATAGTATGGTACAAAATTGTCAAAAAATGTCATAGTATAGTAAGGCATAAAATTGTCAAAAAATGTCATAGTATAGCAAGGCATAAAAATTTCATAGTATAGCAAGGCATAAAGATGGCAAAAAATGGCATAGTATAGCAAGGCAATAAAATGTATAAAAAAGTCATAGTATAGTATGGCATAAAAATGTCATAGTATAGCAAGGCATAAAAACGGCAAAAAACGTCATAGTATAGTATGGCCAAAAAATGTCATAGTATAGCAAGGCATAAAAATGGCAAAAAAATGTCATAGTATAGGAAGGCATAAAATTGTCAAAAAATGTCATAGTATAGCAAGGCAAAAAAATCGCAAAAAAAACGTCATAGTATAGCAAGGCAATAAAATGTCTAAAAAAGTCATAGTATAGTATGGCATAAAAATGGCAAAAAATGTCATAGTATAGTAAGGCATAAAAATGTCATAGTATAGTATGGCAATAAAGTGTCAAAAAATATAGTATAGTGAGGCATAAAATTGTCAAAAAATGTCATAGTATAGCAAGGCATAAAAATGGCAAAAAAATATCATAGTATAGTAAGGCATAAAAATGCCATAGTATAGTATGGCAATAAAGTGTCAAAAAATGTCATAGTATAGTATGGCATAAAATTGTCAAAAAATGTCATAGTATAGTAAGGTATAAAAATGTCATAGTATAGTATGGCAATAAAATGTCAAAAAACGTCATAGTATAGTATGTCATCAAAATGGCAAAAAATGTCATAGTATAGTAAGGCATAAAAATGTCATAGTATAGTAAGGCATAAAAATGGCAAAAAACGTCATAGTATAGTAAGGCAATAAAATGTCTAAAAAAGTCATAGTATAGTATGTCATCAAAATGGCAAAAAATGTCATAGTATAGTAAGGCATAAAAATGTCATAGTATAGTAAGGCACAAAAATGGCAAAAAAACGTCATAGTATGGTAAGGCAATAAAATGTCTAAAAAAGTCATAGTATAGTATGTCATCAAAATGGCAAAAAAATGTCATAGTATAGCAAGGCATAAAAATGTCAAAAAATGTCATAGTAGCAAGGCAGAAAAATGGCATAAAAATGTCATAGTATAGCAAGGCAATAAAGTGTCTAAAAAAGTCATAGTATAGTAAGGCATAAAAAAGTCATAGTATAGCAAGGCAATAAAGTGTCTAAAAAAGTCATAGTATAGTAAGGCATAAAAATGTCATAGTATAGCAAGGCATAAAAATGGCAAAAAATATCATAGTATAGTAAGGGATAAAAATGTCATAGTATAGCAAGGCAATAAAATGTCTAAAAAAGTCATAGTATAGTATGGCATAAAAATGGCAAAAAATGTCATAGTATAGTAAGGCATAAAAATGTCATAGTATAGTATGGCAATAAAGTGTCAAAAAATGTCATAGTATAGTAAGGCATAAAATTGTCAAAAAATGTCATAGTATAGTAAGGCATAAAAATGGCAAAAAACGTCATAGTATAGTATGTCATCAAAATGGCAAAAAATGTCATAGTATAGTAAGGCATAAAAATGTCATAGTATAGTAAGGCATAAAAATGGCAACAAACGTCATAGTATAGTATGTCATCAAAATGGCAAAAAATGTCATAGTATAGTAAGGCATAAAAATGTCATAGTATAGTAAGGCATAAAAATGGCAACAAACGTCATAGTATAGTAAGGCAATAAAATGTCTAAAAAAAGTCATAGTATAGTATGTCATCAAAATGGCAAAAAATGTCATAGTATAGCAAGGCATAAAAATGGCAAAAAATGTCAGTATAGTATGGCATAAAAATGTCATAGTATAGCAAGGTAATAAAATGTTAAAAAAAACGTCATAGTGTAGTATGGCAATAAGATGTCAAAAATGTCATAGTATAGCAAGGCATTAAAATGTCTAAAAATAGTATAGTATGGCAATAAAGTGTCAAAAAACATCATAGTATAAAGTGTCAAAAAACATCATAGTAAAGTATGGCATAAAAATGTAACAGTATAGTATGGGATGAAAATGTCATAGTATAGCAAGGCAGTAAAATGTCAAAAAATGTTATAGTATAGTATGGCAATAAAATGCCAAAAAATGTCGTAGTATAGTTTGGCAATGAAATGTTAAAATACGTCATAGTATAGCAAGGCATAAAATTGTAATATAATGTCATAGTATATTATGGCAATAAAATGTCAAAAAACGTCATAGTATAGGAAGGCAATAAAATGTCAAAAAATGTCATAGTAAAAGAAGGCAATAAAATGTAAAAAAAAAAACGTGATTGTATATTATGGCATAAAAATGGCTAAATTGTCAAAAATTGTCGCAGTATAGTATGGCAATAAAATGTCAAAAAACGTCATAGTATAGTACTGCATAAAATGTCATCGTATAACAAGGCATAACGTTCTCAAAAAATATCATAGTCTAGTAAGATATAAAAACGTCATAGCATAGTAAGGCATAAAAATGTCAAAAATGTCATAGTATAGTAAGATATAAAAATGGCTGTCATAGTATAGTAAGGCATAAAAAATGGCAAAAAACATCATAGTATAGCAAGCCATCAAAATGTCAAAAAAGGTCACAGTATAGTATGGCATAAAAATGTCAGTATAGTCTGGCAATAAAATGTCCAAAAATGTCATTTTAAAGTAAGGCATAAAAATATCACAGTATAATAAAGCATAAAAACAACCATCCTCCTTTTCTTTTCCTCTATAGGTAAAAACATTTGACATTTTAACGATATATTGACCGAGGAACTCGAAATGTCTCCGGTTTTGATTCCAGATATCTGGTCACCTTATCTTGGAGTGCACATTGGAATGATCTAATATGACTTCACTCCAAATATAGTGCTAACGAGTTCACTAAGATATTGATTGGAAACCTACGCCCTTGTGGCACATTGACGGGCACGCACATTTTACGCACGGGATAATTACGATGCCTTTTTGAAGAAAGACCATCATTATCCAAAAGTAGGCGTCCGGAAATTATGTAGGTCGATGACATTGTGTTTTGGATGCCGAAAGAGAGCTGGATCTGGGTTTTGGTGTGTGTGTGTGTGTGTGTGTGTGTGTGTGTGTGTGTGTGTGTGTGTGTGTGTGTGTGTGTGTGTGTGTGTGTGTGTGTGTGTGTGTGTGAGATCTGAGAACACGGAAAAGTATTGGAGGGGTTCCCGAAACGTCACATCCAAGGACGCTGGAGGAGCTTGTTAAGGTCTGCTGCTCCACAGAGAGGGAACAACCCGTGGTGCCTTCACTGATCTCTGGACCACAGACTTTCACTACTGATTACCATCTGAAAGGGCACTGCAATATTTTAACCATGAAGCGCGGACTGTACGGGCTGCCACTAATTCACCTTCTAATAATGCTTCCTCTCATCACTGGATCACCTTTCCAACAGAGCATTTTCCAGAACAACGCGCATTCAGGCACGGACACACGACAAAGAAACAAGTGAGTTAAGTAGATTTCTATACATTTTAGGTCATGTTGCACGTTAATGAAACATAGATTGATGTGTTGATTAATTTGTGTGATCCTATTATTCTTATCGTCTGTGCATAAATGGATGCATTCAGTCCCTGAGTGATTAACCGGTGGTTTCCTGCAGAAACTGGTGCGCCTACGTTGTGCACAAGAACGTGAGCTGTGCCGTCGTGGGAGGCACGGAGAGTTTTGTGCAGCCGGAGGTTTTACCGTGTCCACCGGAGCTGCCAAACTGTGCGCAACAAGTGATGTAAGTTCCCAGAAGTCCTGGACTCTGCGTGGAGGGCGGATAGTCTTTGCTTTTGTTAGTATTTTTAACAATGTGAGGCAATACTCTTATACAGTCATACAGTTTGGACTGATCTTCTATTTAAAAAAATACTGATGTTAATCATCTACGTTGTGGGCTGAGTCAGTTGTGTGTATTTTTATAGTAGGCTATTGTGTGTTATCCAGCTCTGTAAAATTCCTATGTGCACTAATACATGTTATTTACAGTTGTGTTATCATAGTACACTTTGTATTGCAGTATATAGTTTTTTTTCCTTCAGGGTCAAAAATAAAAAAGCTTTCAGGATGAAAACCATTAACACTTTAATATGCGTGAATATGAAATGAATGGTGTCTAAGAGGGACTAACGGAAATGTATTATTATTATTAATTTTTACTCTTAGAATAATCTTAAAAACATGACTTAAAAGCAAAAAAGCTGATTATTCAGACATCTGTGTTCAATCTTCATAAATGGCAAATATGGATTGATTGTTTTGCTTCAGTGTCCATTGAGCAAGAAGGACACTCCTGAGAAAAGTGGATGGCAGGAAAGTCTGGAACTAATTCCTCCTAACTTCATGATTAATTAATTGCAAATGTGACTGTCTATCTAGTCTCAGTTGCCAACAATCAGAGTTTTCCTACATTTGTATTCCAAGATTACATTGTATTTCTGAGAAGGAGAATTGAACAAATGTGCCATTGTACAGTATCTGTGAATTTTTAGAAAGCAGAGTAATAATTCATGTCTTCATGTGTTAAATGATTCCAGATATCGGACACACTTCAGGCCCATGTATAAGATTGCATACAAGACAGTAACAGAGCTGGAGTGGAGGTGCTGCCCGGGCTACCAGGGCCACGACTGCAGGGAGGTGAAAGACCTAATGCTACTCCAAGTAGAGCGTTTGCCTCATGCACCGTCTGCCGCTGGACATATTCCAGTCCCACAAGGTGAAAGACACGACTATAACTAAGGAAATAAACCATCAAAATATGTGAACCAAAATTAAATGCAAATATAAAAGCATTTGTATTCTTGTTTCTTAACCCTCTCTCTGAAATTTCTCCCTACAGCTCCAGAACAGAGAACACAGGGTCAGAGAAATCACCCATGGGTAGGGGAGGGGCAGTTTGGAGGTCAGACAGGTCCCAGGTCACCATGGGGCCACAGAGGATCTCAAAGTGCAACACACCTGGAGGAGGAGGTGCAGCAACTGTCCCAGATGGTTCTTGACATGCAGGCAAGAATGACTGACATGTCCTCCAATCTGAGACTGGACTTCCAGGAGGATGCCAGTAAAATGTTGGTCACACTGTTGAACAACCTCAGACAGCCCGCCAGTGCACGAGGCGCAGAAACACAAACCATTCAGGTGCAGGACTTCTCCTTTGACCATGACACAACACCAATGGAAGAAGTAATGAACAAGATCAGCCAGGTTACAGACGACCTAGAGTCCAAGACTAATACCCTGGATGACCTGCTGGGCCGTGTCAACCGCCATGATGGACAGATCAGTCTGCTCATGGAAGCTGCCCAGAACCCACTGTCCACACCTCCTCCTGCACGCCCAGCTAGTGATACAGACCTACGTGCCTACCTGGATGATAAGATCCGTGCTCTGAGAGAGGAGTTGATGGAGGGCATGGATATCAAACTGGCAGACATGAAGAACTCTTGCGATTATAAAATCATGTCAGTTCAGGAGCAGTGTGAGGGGCAAGAGGCTAATTACCTCAGCCTCGCCGAGCTCATGGACTCTAAGGAAACCGATCTCCGCAAGGAGATCGAGGACCTTAAGATCAAGCTGGTTGATCCAGTAAAGGAAGGCAACCAAGTATCTGACAATGTTCTCACTCGTGTGGAAAACCTTGAGATCCATCTGAACTCATCTGAGAAGATTGTGGCAGGGCAGTGCCTTGCTGTGGAGAAGAAACTGAAGAAAGAACGGACAGAGGCCATCAAAGACCTCAGGGAGACTCTTGAGGACAAGTTGGCCTCCATGGAAGACAGATTCACGACCCTGTTGGTTGATACAAGCGCCAACTCCCAATCTGGGGTTCAGCCAGAGAGTCAAGATATGGTGCAGACGGATGTTAACTCTTTAAAGGGCTCTGTTCAAACTCTGGAGGATAGACTCAATGTCTTGGACCAGTTTTGCTCAAAGGAGCAAAGGGCTAATTTAACTGTTGTAGAAAACCTTCAGCAAGACTTTGAGAGTTGCAAAACTGCTATAGGTGCTATGGAGACTAGTCTGAAAGCCCAGATAAATGGCCTTGGAGCCATGGAGGGGCAACTCCTCAACTACAGCACTAGCATTGAGAATGTACACAGTGAACTCGGCTCCGTGAAAGGCCACATGGGCAGATTGGAGGACTCTCTATCAGATGTAGTCCACCAACAGTCTCAGACGTTGCAGAGCCTCAACTCCACCTGGGGTCAAGTTAAAACAGGGGCGGAGCAGGAGGCCAAGGACCTTTTGGAGCTCCACAAAACACAGCATCAGGAGCTGAGACAGCGGCTGGACGAGCTGGGCAGGGAGGTGAAAGCCGAGGCCGACCAGTGCAGGGAAAAAACTGAAGATGTCGAGAAGGAGATTGCCCACGTGGACAGCCGCGTTGTTAGTGTGGAGAGTTTATGCGGCAAGCTGGATCCTATCTCCAGTAGCCTCCAGAGGATCAAAGATGGGCTGAATAAACATGTCACTGGGTTGTGGACTTGTGTCAACCAGCTGAATGGCACAGTTAGAGCCCATGCCCGAGATATTGGAGGGGTGAAGGGAATTTGCCAGGACCTCCAGAACAACATTGCCAACATAGCCAGAGACCTTCAGGTGCTAACCGACAGCAACGCCGCAAAGACAGGTAAGCTGTCTGTACAGTAATGCAAACACAAACCAAACTTTTTTTTTGGCTGTGTTATTGAAGAGGTTGCAACATTAACCAGCTACAACAGCATGGCTGATATTGTTTTCGCCTTGTGAGTGTGTGTGCATGTCTTCATGGCAAAAAGAAAACCTCCTGTCGGTGGTTCTGAGTAGTTTGGTAAGTGTAATATGTCTGTGGACAGATTTCATCACCACTAGAGCGTCACAGATGTGCAAGCTGCAGCCACAAAACGTTATGGGTGTACAGTTGAAATCAAAATGAGGACCAAGTTCAAAGATGCATGTGGTTAGACCCAAATGTACTAATGACTTCCGAGCAGTCATGGGTGGAAATGTCAACATGTTGACAGGCGTTGCAGCTTGTGCGATCCCTTCGCAGGATGTTCTCTAGTGGTGCGTATTTCAATGTGTGAGTGAGAGGAAGTTTGATTTTAATTTAACCATGTTCTCAGTTAAAGGAGGCAGGGCTGATTGAAGACACATGCTTGATTTAATAAACCCCAATTGTGTTGAGCAATGCCTTGGCTCAAAGAAAATATTGCTCACTTGGCTTTTTTCTGCATCCAAGTGTGAATTCATGTGTGTGTTAGTCCATTATCTCTACATACACACACACACACATACATAAACATATACATATATATATGTAGTTTTTTGGATGTAAAATGTTTGCCTTGCATTAAGGTGAACATCAGCTTAATCATGTGCATCTGTTGTTTTTGTTTATCATTAATACTGGATGTTATTGTGAGACTCAGTTACGTTGCTGTCAGCATATCTGAGAACATAGATTTCCATATCGGTGCATATGTTGCATACGTCTTTTATGAGTTTTCTCATTAATGACACCTATGAGACCGAGCTGGACTTCACCGACTCTCATAGTTGTAAATGTGAACTAGAAGCACGCCCATAATGTTTACGAGCCCAGTCTCTTCCTCTGGGACCAGCTGGTTTATGTGGCAGATGATGCAGCGTGTGATCCAGTCCAGAATCTTATGGGAGGTGAACTGGAATAAAATAGTCCTGGGTCATGTTGTGGTTCCAGTCCAAGCCGGACCAGTATGTTTCAGTTTTACTCCTGATTTAGCTGTGTGCTTTGGAGATGCCAGTTTTACTCATTTTTGCCAAATACTGAATCAGTGGTGGCTGAGAAATGCTGCCACTCCACCCCATGGTTTTTGTCATAATATAGCATTTAATTCATCATTCTGTCACTGGGAAGTTTTGCAAGTGGGAGCACGATTATTCATGATTTCCACTCACTCTCAGTGATGTCAGGGGCTGCTCTGTGCTTGGCTTTCTGTTTGTCTTTACCCTTCCAGCCACCTCATCCTATTGTCTCCCTCCTTGCTTATCTCAAGAGAGTGGAAAACGCTGCTTTTAGAGGGGTCAATTACAGAGATCTGCACACAGCTTATCAATGATCCTCAAAAGGACCACTCATGGGCGTCTTTATTTCAGAGCCAAGAGCTGCTCTGTGTTTCGATTAAGAACTACTGGATCAAAATTTCTATCACTCCTTTTCCTCTCAGCCTCTTCAGCACAGTCACTTTTGTACTGCCGTCTGAAGTTTTCTCACATTCTTAACTTTCACGGCCGAGTTCCTTTTCTGCTGAAATAAACAGTGCGAACACTCAAAGCTGCACGGCGGTCTCAAGGGCCATTTGTCATTGTGTTTACCATGATGTCATACCAGTTGTTAACCTTAAACGAGAGGGTCGGGAGAGAGGTGAAGAGAGATGTAATATGTCATTCTTGAATTGATTTTGTTGCTTTGAGTTCAGACAAACCATGAAGTTTTTGCTTCAATTTGTTATAGTCGTTGATACAACTGAAGAGAAATTCATAAGCCACTGAGCTTTTGCTTGAAGACCCTTTTTCTTCATTCAACATTGAGCTGCGTATTTCAAGTGAATGTACACATCAGCTGTATTCACCTTGCTTCAAGTTGAGGAAAAACACAAATTATTCACATTGGAAATAGTAGTTTGAAACTGTCAAAGTGTACTGCTGGAGGAGGATAAACACTAAAGGGGATAAAGGAACAAAATAATTGATCTCTGAGACAGTGAGAAACGGTTTCTGAAAACTGAACCAATTTCCCAAACAAATAAAGGTGCACTGTAGGGTTTTCCTTACAAGTATGTTCCCATAAAGGCAGTGCATTTTCTTCAAGGACATCAAGGATACACAACACGCGACACACTGAATGTAAACTTTTGTTTGTTTAAAAGAAAACTCCACGGGACACTTTAAACTTTCAGTTATGAGCTATTGTTTGAGTCGCAGTAGTAGTGAATTGGTCTTTAACATCCATGTCCTCTCATTGAGTTTGACAAGGTGGTTTCAACGTTCTTAAAACAGCATAGTGCAGCTCTATTATGGGGATGCGCTGAGATAATAAAGCGTGATTTCCTGCTCCTGACGAGGCTCAGTGGTTAGGCTTGTAGGTCAATGCGAGAGATAAGGCCACTCGTAGGGTGAGACACTCTGGTCAGTAGTGAACCATGATAACCCCATGAACCAAAAACAAGATGGTGCCTGACAGAAAGCCTTCAAGAACAATGAAGCCTTCTGCTGCTGTGACTGTGGCAACTTGTTTATCCTGACAGAGTGGGTGTGACATTATCTGACGCAAGACATTTAGCAGTCTCTGCTTTGAGCGCTCAATTCTCAGGCCGGATTTATTGATTCCTAAATCAAAGTCTTTAAGAGCCCACTGTGTTTTGGCGAACAGTGACTCATAAAGTCAACACACATCAAATTGCTCTGCAGTCATTGTATGTAATGCGGGAAAATGGCCATTCTTGTGACACAAGGGGCTGTTGTGTCCCGGGAACTGAGGCTTTTCTCCATGTTTCAGTGGAAAGGTGCAAATTTGAGGTCGACACCAGATCCAGCTGCGTTTGTTTACGGCGCACCTCTTTCATCATGGCACATACTCTCACATGCGTACGTATATACATCCTGCTTTTGTCTCGTTTATCCTCGTGGCACTAGGTCTGAAATCAGTTTTGAATCGCTCTCCATCAAAGCCCGCTCTCTGGAGCACATGCCTCGCTTTATACGAGGAGCGACACAACTAACAGACGCAGACCAGTAAAACACATGCACATGTGTGTATATACGTAGACTCAACCCCCCCTGTGCTGTTTTATGGTCACACACCGGTCCCTCTGCACATGTTGTGTTTAACAGGCAGACTTTCTCCAGCTTCTACACTAAATGACCCCTTTCCCCCGGGGTGAGGGGACAGGCTGTGTGCTGATTGAACATGTGGCCGGGCCTTGGTATGCTGCTGGTATGTCTTTTATGTGCTGGTTTCCCCTTTTTTTGGAGCAGCAGAGTCGAAGCCTTTTGTCTCGCTGTAGACCTGAGAGTAACTACGTGCCCGCAGCCAGGAGGCTTTGATTTGTTGATAAACTCCAGGGTTCGTCTCAGCTGTGCTTCTCAGGAATGCAGCGGTTTTAGAGCTGATCACCATATGACGGGAGATGAGGCAGAGGTCTGTCATTTTCTCTGTTTATGTCCATAATAAGAGGCTCAGATAACCGCTCACTGTTTGGCTGTTAATGAGTCGACGGTAGCCCCGACCATAAACACGAGCACAATTGCACGTATCCTGATTGGTTATCATAAAGTGACAACAAGTGCAACATCACACATAATTGCATGTTATCCCCTATGAGGTTCTGTGTTGGTGCAGATCAGTGCCAAAGTTTAAAACATGTTGAGTGAAGACATCAGTTTGGGAAGATGGATATTCAACCTACTCTCATATGACAAAAAAACAAAAAAACAGGAAATGTAGTTTTGCTCGAAAAATGACTGAAAAAGTGTCTCCCATCAATAAATTTGGTCGCACCATTCATGCAGTAGAAGCTGTCCACACAGTGACACAGAATCTCTGGTTGCACAATGTCGTTTCAGGCGATGTTGCATCAGTGTGATGAAGTTGCATGTTTAGTTTTTTTTTTTCTTACGATAGCAGAGCTGTACAGATGTAACTGATAGCAACAGTAATAGCTGCGATACATTTTGCAGGCTCAATAGGAGATACTGACGCGCCGAAATGGAAAGCAGACATTTTAAACTTATTAGTTATATCTGTGTGAAGCCATTACATCCTGGTCTGCAGTCAGTCTCCAAGGAGACACAGGGCATAATCAGAAAAACTTACAAAAGCTCATCTGCTCATAATTTTAAGGGTTTTTAACTGGATTTATGGGGGAGATATTTCTTACAGAGTGAAAAGGGTGAAGTTTTAGTGTCACTATAACACCAGCTGGTTTGGTGACACGTCTGACCTCCAACCATCTGGCCCTGCATCTGTCTCTGCCTGACCTGCAGCCTCTGTCCCATCGCTCACTGCATATCTGTCTTTTTCAGGTGTTCAGGTTGCAGTGGAGGACGCAGGACTTCCCCAGGGCTCAAGTAAGAGCCTCACAGTGGCGGTCGGCTCCGTGGACGCCTCTCTCCCTCAGCCACCTGTGATAGAGGCCGGAGAGGCGGGTCCCCCCGGGAAGATGACCTCGTCCAAGTTGCCCAAGGGGACTGGCGGGAGCATGATGCCTGTTCAGGGTTTTGCTGGAGCTCCAGGTGAGACCCCCCCCCCCCCCCGTGTATATGCACTCTGTGCTGCACGTTTCCCAGCATGCGCTTCACCTTTTTCCTCTATTTCACAGCTTCTCCAGTCAAATCCACTGAGTCGCTTAAGATCAGGATTCCACTAAACACAGGTAAATTCATTAATTGTTATGGTGCATCACAACAATGATGCAGCTTTCAAGTGTGGATGAACCGTTTTCCTCTCGCTCAACAGATGTGAACTCGCTCCATCGACCATCTCCACAGAAACCTGCCATGGCTTTAGGTCAGAATTTATTGACTGATTAAACAAGATGCCGCTTCAGTTACTGTAATGTTTGCCAGCGTGTGATGTTTCTTTTCCTGTGTTCAGATGAAAGGGTGTCGTTCTCAGCCGGTCTGACTCTGCCGCCGTTCCAAGGAGAGGTTGGAATCATTCGATTCAACGAGGTGTTGGTCAACGACGGAGGACACTACGACCCTCATACAGGTAACTATCACTGCAGGCTCACAGGCCCAAACAGTGAAGCATGAATCCACGTTTTCCTCCATAAAATACCCTCTACCTCAACTTTGACACATAATCAGCATCTTCCCTGTGTCCTCAGGTATTTTCACGGCTCCCACAGACGGCCGCTACCTGGTGAGCGCCGTGCTCGCGGCCCAGCGAGGGGAGAAGGTTGAGGCGGTCCTCTCGGTGTCCAATCGCAGCATCCAGAGGCTGGACTCGACGGGTTTCTTGTCTGGAGCGGCAGCGCCCGTGTCACACGAACAATGCAACTGCAGCAGTTCAACCTCGCTGAGCCTGGTTCTCTCCCTGAAGCGAGGAGACCGAGCCGGACTCGTCATGACGGCCGGAAAACTCGCCATCTCGGCCTCCTCCTCTGAGATCCTGTCGTCTTTCAGTGCTGTGCTTCTTTACCCCAGCCCATCAAAACGGTAGCCCTGCCTCTATCAGAGACAACTGACACCTTACATAAGCCATAAGTGGAGGATAATTGTGACGCTAATTGTGATATTTTATTATCAGAGAGAGAACCAACAACAAAAAGAATTAATGCAGTCTCCAAATAATAAGAGATTATTTCTATCATGAGTACTAATATATAATGTTTTTATATTAGTTATTTTCTATTTTCTATTGTAAAGTTTTGTTTACAACCTAGACCTACCAAATACATATTTTGCTTGAACATATAATTGTTGTAAATCTTGTAATCACTGATTTTAAAGATATGTTACTGCTAAAATTTAAATTCCAGTTGATCAATTTGTTAATTACTGGGAAGAAATCTGTGTTTTTTCCTCCAGAAGGAACCTCACACATCCGACAGTTCACACCCGTGTTCATTACTGCAGATATACTCCTTGTTGGTGCTAAAATGTCAATAATGTGCAAAATCAGTTTTGATTGTTCTGACACACTTTTTGTTTTTATTAAAGCATCATCCAACAAAGGATGTTTGATTCAACAGTTTCTTAATACATTACATATAGTAAATATACTATATATATATACAGTCTATATACACTAGGATCTACACTTTTGACACACCACAAAAATGATCTTACATAAGTTGCGTTCAGAGCCGACCCCTCACACTGTCTAACGAATACAAAGCAAATCAAACAGCTGAATATATTTGTGCTTGCACTGTCACATGATGTCAACCGGATTACCACCGAGGTAATCACAACAACCTACAGAAAACACTTGAAGCAGCTGCAAAAGTTCTTCATTGAAAAGTGAAATTTGACACAAAAACTAAGAAAATACTGTGTGTTCTCGTCACACAAAGTTTATCACTTTCATAGAAAGAATGCATGAAATTTCACTGACAGCTGTTACCGAGCATGAAAAGCAAAATAATAAAAAAAAAAAAAAAAAAAAAAAAAAAAAAAAGAGGCATTAACATTAATAATATACTGTAGTTTGTTTTCACAAGTCTGGCAAAAAACATCTCAAAGATTAGCTTCAAAATTCATCAAAAATAGTTTTCTACCGTACGTCTAAACTAAATCTTGTTTTTTGGAAAAATACTTGATACCAAATAGCAGCAGTATCTACAGTTCAGAAAGTGCTTTTTCTTCAAAGTAATGCAGTTATAACCTATGAGCAAAATCATTTCACATTTCTTTTTTTTTTAGCATCATTGTGCAAAATCCTTAAGCCCCGGAGCAAAGATATAAGATCCGTATACATCAAATGACACCGTTATAGAGTGAATAAGGCCTTAAAGGGACGACTGCACACTTGCTCTAAATACAGCATGAACTGTGCGTTTGGTGATCGTTCTTGTTTCATATCGAACTCGTCAGTTTAAACACAGTTATTGTACCTGCGCTGCCTAAATAAGTGCTTAGGCAATTTTCTTCTTAGAAGCGCTGTGACAAATGATAAAACAACTGATACTTTCATATCCCAAACGCTGACAGAGCCGTCCACTACACCTCAAGCACAAACAATACCAAGTGCATAAAGGGGATAAACCCTTAATAAGATGACGTGGCACAAAAACATGGAATACATCAATATCCCAAACTTTTTCACTAAACAGGAATGTGTCTAATACAATACAAAACTAATATATATTGAATTTATATTAAAGAACTATCATCAGTATTAAGCCAGTGCATACAGGCATACAATAAATTACTGCTCTGAGCTCACTTGATTTCAAGTAATTAATTTAACATTAATATTGGTCTGAGTTTAAAGCAGCTCCTCAAAACACACCTCAGCGATCGGCTGTCTCCAGAAGCAGAAGGAGCTGAACTCCGGGCAGCTGAAGGTGGCGTTGTGTTGTGAACTTCGTAAAGGGAAAACGTGCTCCACCAGCTCACTCAGCCGACTGTAACTGGAAAATAAAAATACAAAAAAAAAAAAATGAAGTAACGGGAACAATAAACACGTGCGAGAGAAACAGCTGACAGGCAAAAACAACAGCTGCAGGGACGCTTCAGTACTTACGATGTTTTATTGCCTTTGGATTGTTCAAGGATTAACTCGCCTTTGGGATTCACTGTGAATATGCGGCACACAGGCACACCTACTTGTTTGTAGGCAAAGACGTCCTTGAAGACAGGAAAAAAAAAAAGACAATCATTTTCATTGAACTGAACCCAAGAATACTCGTACAACACAGTGAGCTCAGAAAATCCCTGGAAAAAACAAACAAACAGAAACGTTCCACTTACACTCGCTCTGTTTCCGAAGGCTGCGTAGAAGGGATGCGTGTTTGGGAAGAACAGGTTCTTGATGTCGGTGAGGCATTCGATCTTGAACTTCTCAGGCTTTTTTTCTATGATCTCTCTAACAAGAGAATTACAAAGAAAGGATTAAAGACTTGACCTCTGACCTTTGATTGCTTTTTGATCGACTTAGGGTAAGGTTATCAATCAGAGCGAATGCTGAATGAAATGGCTGAGGTTTTAAAAAAATAAAAATAAAAAATTCAGCCACTCAAGGTGCAGGATGAAGTGACAGGTGAACAAAAGACAAAAAGCAGAATTACTGTCATTTCACTGGGATAAATCACCTCATTTTGTGTTTGATCTCCACTGTAATTTGCTGGAAGAACAGTGTCTAAAAACACTAGTTATTTGAAATCAAAGGAGGACCTGCTTAGGGGAAGGATTTCTTACCTGTGGAAGGCAGAGAAGAGGCTGCTGGGGGAGAGCATGAGGGGTCCTTGAGGCAGGAGAGTCCCCCTGTCGTTCACCCAGTGCAAATATCCTCGCGTCATGTCAGCCATGCCGATCGCTCGGGCCGAACAGTACAGGAACTTGTAACCGTTCCTGAAGTGGGCAGATGTTTATTAATGGGTTAGATCTTTCTATTCATCTTTTTCGTACCGTCAGAAAACAGGAAACGGAGAAAAGTACTTCAGTCATTAGTCTTACTCGTGCACTGAGTGGTAAAGCTTAGCGATTCCTTGGTGAGTCCAGTCTTTACCGAGCTGAGGCAGGATCTGTCCAAACACATCTGATCTGTGGGAAGAAAAGTATCTGGGGAGTAAACACTCAGGAATCATGTGATAATATATCTGAGGTTGAAACTATCAAACTTGTCTAACAAGATGAAGAGCAGGACAGTCTTCATCACGGCCTGAGAATAAACTACAAATACGGTGAAAAGGCAGAAATGTTCCCGTACTTGGTGATGGTGCCGTCGATGTCAGAGATTATAACCTTGTCGTCCCAGTTCCACAGGTAGATGGTGCCCTCGCAGCGACACGTCCCCTGGTACTGAGTGGTTATGCTGAAGGTGACATCATTAGGCCCCTCCCTTAGCTTCAGGCTGGCCTGTGAGAGACATAAAAGCATTTCTTATAGGCAAATACAGTCTCACTGGCTGAATTAAACCTCAATGGGTGGACCTAAAGAATATATAGAAGGATGATATAGAAGGAAATTTGATCCAGATATATTACTACAAAAAAAGCTGCTAGAAGCTGCAGCATTCATGACACAATAACATCGACTTATTGATGTTCCTGGGCCTGAACCGTAACAGAGCTAAAATATAAAACATGTCCTGAGGGGTGGCATCACAAAAAAAGACTCATCAAATGAAAAGGGTTTTTCTTCTTTACAACACAAATGTGTTCAGTCAATTTCATGGCCAGTTGCTGTGAAAAATATGAAGTATTTTAGGACAGGGTTGATTTTATGTGCATTATTTATGTGGTCATTAAACGTCGTGTCAATCTGGCCACTGATGAAGAAGCAGAAGAGTGATGAAGACTCTTAGGCCCAGTACTGGCACCACTCTGTCTTCAGTGATCGTCAGTAGGAAGTATCTCTCAGTGCTTTTTTTATTTCATACCTTCACCTCTCTGTTTTCTCTGAGCTGTGTTCATGCTCTTGTTTCTTTATGTTCTCTCTACAGGTAAGTTGCACAGCTCCACTTGTCATTTGTCTGCGTACAAATCATGCATTTCTGTGTCCTATCTTGCTGTAATCCATCTATGCTCTTACTATCTGGTCAGAGGACAGGCGGAGGGATTTCTTATAGGAGTGACAAGGCGCTGGTGCCGGTCCTTCTGTCTGCACGCGCTCAGTAGATGTCAGAGCAGGCGCCACGGCGTTCAGCTCTTTAGTCTCGTCGTCGCTGGACCACTCTGCTGTTTTGTGTCTGCAGGACAGAGAACGCAGTCTGAAGGAGGGAGACCAGCAACCGATATCAAGACAAAGGTCAAATCAACCCGTGATGGTGACTGAGGTGCAGACACTTCTATGTCAAAATAAGCACAGTAACATGGCAACACATTGACAGAAAGTGTGTGAAAATGTGATTGAGGGTCTGCAGAATCATTTACAGTCACCAGAGGGTGGCAGACTTCCTCATCTGCTTGTATATCTGCCTGTTTGGGTTGTAAATATACAATGTTTTTGTTTGTAATCCCTTTCTTTTACACTGAAACCGAAAGCATCTGTAAAAAATCTCCAACACGAAGCCAAAAAACTTAACTCTTTAAAAACTGCTTCAAACGATATCTAAAGTATCTGTCCTGAATCTTCATGAAATAGCAGCACTGCTCACTGACTAACATGCTAATCCAGTCTGTGTGGCACATGTTTACCCAACACTGCTTGTGTCACTGTGTGGGACCGTAGCGTTGTGAGGAAGCCAGAGCTTTGTTGCTGACTCACTGTGTTTCTGGGGCCTGGTGGAGGGCAGGGCTCTCTCTGCTCAGGGACTCCTGTCTGTCTAATTTGGTCTCCGATGATGACTGAGGAGAGGAAGAAATATTATCGGCCTCTAATGCGTTGACATAAATATCTATTGTTAAAAATCAATATACAGTGAAATACATGGCGTAAATTCAGCTCAAGTCTTTACATAATGCAAAACAGGGAGATAATGGTTCCTGAAGCCTGTTCCCGATTTGTCTCTCATTTACAATGCAAAGTTACTCAAACGGCATGCGATTCCCACAGTACGGTCCACACACACACACACACACACACACACACACACACACACACACACACACACACACACACACACACAGATGGGAGTGTGACTCATAATCTTACCTAAAGACTTTTGGCTGAGTCACACACATTCAGTACCTGCTTCACGCTGCTCTTTCTCCAGAACCACCAGCGTCCAGACTTTTTTGGCATCTTCTCCTTCACCCAGGCCTCCTCTGTAGCCTTCACATTAATAATTCATGTGCAAACAGACATAAACAAAAAAAATTTAAAAAAAAAAGTGCAGATGCAGCATGAGATCAAATTGCACACTATGAGCACGTCATATCAGAGCAGAGGATGATACCTTCGGCAAGTTCTTCTGAAAAGCCTGCATACTGAGTATCAACGGTGCTGCCAGGGTCCAGTTGTAATACCTGGAGAAAACAAAAGTTTTTTGGGGTTTTTTTTAGCTGTAATGTGAACATCATGCAATAACATACAAATGAACCATCTGATGAGAGAGAGCGTGTCCGTTAGGGAGAAGGAAGACTCACCTGTTTGCGATTCTAACCACCAAATTGGGGTTGTCAATAATCGCTGGATTCTCTGCAAATTCGTTGTAGGTGATGATGTGCTCCATGAATTTTTCTGGAATAAATGGAACAAGAAAGAGATGTGAAGCAGGGACAGACACAATATCTCATGTATATGTCTGCTTACTGAGTCCTCACACACAAGTAGTCCAAGGATGGAAAGCTTTATTAGTCACCTACGCAAGTAATAGAATAAAATAAAATGTGTAAAAGGGTCAAATGCACATATGTCACAGGCATGCAATGTGCAGGGTTGTGTAAAGGATTTAATGGGAAAAGGTTTCCATTCTTGTAATACAAAATAAATGTTAACATCCTTTTTTCAGAGATAAGATAATTTGCCTACAGGGAACAAGTTTTTATCAGTGACGCTGCAGTTAATGACAGCTGATAATACAGCTGATTAATTACCTTTCGAGATCTCCGAGTTCTCGCCGACGCCTCCGCACAGCGACAGTGTGACGTCAGGGAGGTCGCCGGCAGAGTCGGACAGACACTCGGTGCCGCTGTCTGCTGCTGCGCTGCCCACCGACTGCGGAGACTGGGATCCAGAGCGCCGTCCCATCTCCACCCAGTGTTTAGGAACCTGCTCAGACTCACTGAAGAACACGACCACAGTCCAGTCTTACACATTTCAAATCACTGACTTTCATAAAGAGACGCAGTCGCTCTTATTTGTTCTAGAAGTTCTCAATGGTACCAGGTATTTTCACTGCGTCTGCGCTTCTGCTTACAGCTGTGGCTCAGTAATTTAAATGTGCTCACTGAGAGCTTGGACATGTGCTGCGCATACACCAAATGAGATAAGGTGTCTGAAGCGGTAACGGGACTTCAGGGGTTTGTACCTTTTCGGGAAGTAACGGGCAACAACATCAGGCTCCAGTGCATTCAGATCATCCAGGTAAATATCTTCAGGCCCCTGATGCTGGCTCCTCTTCCTCACACCTGCATGAAACGGAAACGATGACGAAAGAAGTTTACTGAGAAAATCGCTGACTTTGTTGTTTTCTTTGCTTTTTTTTTTTTTTTCCACTTCCTTTTCTTTTAAACATATGAATGTAGAACAGTCCCAGAGACCAAATCTGAACTCAGGCCCGAGTAGAAACCACATCCTTCCTGTCAACATTCACTTACATTAAGACTGTGTGTAGACTACCGTCACACAGAGAAATCTGGAGTTCTACTCAACATTTCCGTGTCATTTAAGATGCAAAATAAGAATTATTCAACTATTAAAATGATGCTATGCTTTTTTGCTGTTTTTAAACTTTTCATAACATTTTTTTTTTTTAGTATTTTCTTATGTTTGCCATAAATATACCAATTGCTGAGGAGCTTTCTCTAGCCTCCTGCTTTTCAGGCATTTCAGGACACTTATGCTTAAAATTTCTTCAGTTGAAAGGTCATTTTTATATTCATACAGAATGAAAATGAAACCTGCAGTAACGACCACAAAGTGCAGGAAATACGTAAACACAGTGTGAGAGAGTGAGGTGTAAAAGGAAGTCGTGTTACCTCTCCTCTTGCTGGGGGAGTCCGTGGGTTTGGAGGAGGCTCCTGTGTCGGCACAAACTGCTGCAGCGTCTCCGGCCATGTTGCTGCCTCCGCCGGCAGCAGAGCCGCTGCCCCTGCGGCCGGGCGGCGAAGACGTCCACCTGGCCTTGCGCACGGTTTTTGTGTTGAGGTCAGAGTTACCGGGACGTGGCTCGGAAGTAAAACTGCTGCACGCCGAGCTGGAAAGGTCTGGCTCGTCCTTGGTGACATTTGCATCATGTGGCGACGCTTCAGGGGGCTGTGGTTTGCAGTCGCACTGATCGGGTTTAATGGTCCGTGGCTCTGGTTTAACGATACTGCAAACTGGATCTGTGCTTCTCTCTTCATCCCGTGACTCTTCCTCCATCGCTTCTGAGCTTAAAATAACCCTGAAATGCGTGTTCTCCGAGGGAGTGATGATCAGCGTCTTTGGCTCTGTTTTGTCCTTTTTGTTGACCTGCATACAAAAGAGTACAGAACAAGATGAAGGTTAAAAATCCATACACACCTACGTCTCTAAATAAACGGAGCATATGAGCCAGACAGCCAATCTCACGTGTCTTAGACCAGATTCTACAAGTCTAGATCTCTACCATACCCTGGTAGATTCTGGAAACTCGCCCCACGTCCACTGCATGTGGGACTCGGCCCTGAGGATGCTCTCTGCCGGCTTCACCATCAGCTCCGAGTCACTCTTGGGCGACATGGGCTCGGACATCTCCCTGCTGTAAGCACACACCACATTTCCACTGAGTCAGCGCTAATGATCTTGAGGGAGTGTTTTGTTTCACTCAGCCCTGTCTGTTTTCATACAGTGGGTCTTTAATGATGTTTTATCGTTTCTCTCTGTTTGTATGAACTGTGTAAATATTTGAAAGGGCAGAGCGGGAGGGGGAGGGGGCGTACGTAGTGGAGGGTGACCAGTCTCCATCGGAGAAAGGGTAGCTGTCCCATTCGAGGCCGGTGAGGGGGGAATGTTGCCTGTGGTCCACGCTGTTGTTCATCGTGGAGAGAGAAGACGCCCTGAAGACAGGAAACCATTAAGTTCACAAAAGGTTTACGACAGACGACAACGAACGGAACACGAACATGTGCGCTTACCGCCCATTGTGTGCGTTGTGCTCCTCGTCTGAACTGAGCTCACACAGCTCCGGCTCCCCGCCTGCAGGCGTGGTTGTCGGCTCCTCCTTGCGTGGCTCCGCTTTGTGCTTCCTCCGGCGCCTCTTCTTCTTCTTGCCGGCTGAATTGGAGCACAGCTGCGCGTTTCCAGACGCCGGGTCTTCTGGATTCAGTGGCGCACCGGTCTCCGCCACCGATCCCACACATCTAGGCTCTCTGCTCCTGAACAGAGCCTCTTCTGTGGGGATGGGCGAGGTCACCAGGTGGGCTGGGACGATCTCCTGTGTTGAGGAAAGCATGAATAACTAGAATTACCGCCTCGCGATCGCTTGCCCCCGCCAACCAGTTACGTTGCAGGAAATGTGGTCACAATCTCACAAGTGTTTATGCAGAACATTATGATGTCATAGTGAAGTTGACCTTTGACCGTATGTATATAAAATGTCATCACTTCATTTCATCCTTATAGACATTTAGTTTAGAGTTAAATTGCGTCATGATTAGTGTATGCATTTGTGAGTTATGGCCAAAAACATGTTTTGTGAAGTCACAGTGACTTTGACCTTTGACCACCAAGTTCAAATCAGTTCATCACTGAGTCCAAATGAATGTTTGTGCCACATGCGACGAAGTTCCCTCAAGGCGATACCGAGATATCACGTCCACAAGAATGGGACAGACGGACGGACGGACAACCTGTAAACGGCTGAAATTCGACATTAAATTCTCTGTCATTTTCATCACATACTGAACAAAACTCACATTGTTCTGCTCCGTCTCCTGGACAAAAAAGGCTTCTCCATTGTCTCCGAGCTTCATGTGTAGCTCCACAGGTTCCCCGTTGATTTCTATGTCAATCTGCGGAGTCACACAACACATTTCTGTAAGACACACACTCACCAGGTCACCGTGTTCTGCTCAGCTGTCCTCAACAAGCATCAATGAGGTTTGTTTACAGCCGCCCACAATGCAGCTCATGGATTAAAAGAAACAAAGAAAAAACTGTGCCACAGAATTAACTGAAGAATTAAGAGTTAAGCTACAGAGAAAACAGTGAACGGCTTGTGTGAACGACTTGCTGTTTTTAGCTTTAGCCACAACTTTTATCTGTGAACTACACAACCAGGGTTTCTGCTCTCAGGGAACTCAGAATTAGGCTGCATGGGTGGAATTAGGTTGTTAATAAAAAGGTCAACACACATTCTGCGACTCGTGTGTACAGCAGTGCTTCTTTCCATCCTTTAATTATCAGAAAAAGGTTGTGAGATGAAACAAAATCTACTCAAACTGTCTGCAAGATGCTGACGTTTGATAAGAAGTCAAGAGGAGGTTTAACTTTTAACCCACAAGATTCACTGTAGAGAATCACTGAAACCGTCTTCTCCGTGAACCACGGACGATTTCCTGCACAGCTAAGTGTGTAACAGTAAAGGCTCTCCTGTTCTTGAATAGGATGAATCTTAACACATTGAGAATACAGTAAGAGCTTTAGTCTGTGCATCCCACCTTAGTCCTCAGCTGACAACTATACAGTGTCTATAAATAGAGAGAAAGGCCAATCTGCTCTTGTGAGGAGCAGAGAGTGGATTGGATGGTAATGTTGAGAGAGTTTCAGAGGGGAGGGGAGAGCAGCAGCAGTTCAATTATAACCCTCTGGAACGGAGGTTCAATCTGTTACCCTACATTTTACTAAATATTTCCAGGCACCAGTCCTTTTAGCAGATATAACAACATGCTGTTAGATTTATATCGGGGGGGGGGGGGTCAAACATGCAGTAGCTACATCTGTTGATAACAAAGATAAAATGTAATTATGTCTTTGAGAAATATGTGCACTCACCACTTTCTCCCTGGAGCGCAGCACCCCCAGTTTCCCGAAGCGAACGTGGAAAGGCGAGCACTGGAACGTCCCATCGGGCTGTCGGACCACGATCACGTCGATGCAGCCCGACAGGGTGGCCTGATTGATCCCTTTGTACAGCTCCTTCACCGTCACCAGCACCTGGCCAGCCAGCTGCCCCACGTAGTTCATGGTGTCCACCTGCCAACAACAAAGACGCCCTTTCACTAATTAACATATATGTAACGACAGCATTCAACAGTCACCTCATTAGACCAAGTTTAACTGACCTTAATTACCAGCAGAATAAAACAATGCAGCACCTTTTTTTTTTTTTTTTTGCTGCATCTTACTAGGCCACTGCTCCTGTTGCGTGTGCTCCTGTTGATCAGAATAGTCTGCAAAGGAAATGCAAGCTGGTCCCTAAACACAGCGGCTCTGTCCCATTTTCCTCAAAAGAGTCCTGCTGATCGTGACTTAATCAGGCCCTCGACTGCTGCGGCGAGGGCCGCTGCAGACCAGAGCAGTGCAGAGCAGAGAGGATAGTGTGTGTTTCTGTCTCCACAAAGGACAAACACACACACACACACACACACACACACACACACACACACACACACACACACACTGACTGGGTCAAAATGGCCAGATAGCTTGTTGTGGCAAGTTCAGTTGCAAAGGATTTCACAGTATAAGAAACAGTGTGATCCATCAGAGGCAGGCCTGAAGTTTGAGCCCCATTGGGGAGTGTACAGCAAATATACATAACATAACATAAATATCTAAATCCATTCAAAATATAAACACGGCTCAGAGTATTAGCCTGTACTGTGCACCATGCTGCTTAAATATTACAGAGTCAAGAAAGAGATAAAACATGATAGATAACATGTTCAGGGTTGTAAAAAGTGTTGATACACATATGAATGGTGATTAGTTAAGTCTGATATATGCTGTTTAATCAGTACTTCAGGATTAACAAGTTTATATTGCAAAAGACATTTCCTCCCATCTCTTTAGATACAGGTTGTCTGTTCTAATGAAAAATATATTAACAGGGCAAAATTTCAAAATCATCGGATGGGTAAAAAAAATTTGGATTTGCTATTAAAGTTGTGTCAAGAAAAAGGAAGATCTCTGGCTGTCAGTCAGATAATTGCAGCATCAGTAATCAGCTAACTGAAGAGGAAAACAAACAGGCCTAATGCTACAGAGCTACAGTATTAACCCAGTGCCTATCCATCCATTAAAAAACACTTCACAGCTGCTCAGCTGATGCATCAACAAACATAAGACATGTCTAGGAAAGAGGAGGCACCAGGAAAACCACACAGATTTGCAAACAGATGAAAAAATAGAAAGCAAGACCTGATTCTGTCACAAGGACGAGCTTTACCTCAATATCACTCTCCTTACTAGGAAGTCACTCACTCACAAAGAAAAAGCCCTACGCAATAAAATATACATTCGGGCAACTAAGTTTGAGTCTAGGTTTACTGAACAAAATCTTCATCAACCACACACCACCACTGTATTTCTACACACATGACAGTGTGTTGTGTTCCTAAGGTTTTCTAAATTATATTTTATTCTATTATTTAATCTATTGAAACAGCAGGACACTTTACTGCTCAGTGTTTTGATGCACCAGGTTTCATATGATCTTCCCTGGAGGACGTCAACACTGGTCATGTGGGTGTCATTAGGCGCGCTCACCTTGGTTCTGCACCCGTCATTACTGTAGTGGACAACACCAACAACATTTTCAAAGCAAGCTCAAGCTATGTGTGTGTCTGTGTCTGTGTGTGTGTGTGTGTGACATGAACAATGAGACTCTAGCAGCGTGTTTCAATATTTAGGACAATGGTTTACACGGACTAAATCAGAGCTGCATACCAGCTGGATGGACTTTGACACCATTCAGTTTCTATGGCTGGCAGCCACTGCACCAGCTAAACTCTAATGCACTTAAAGGATGGCAGAGAGAAAATACTCTGCAAATAACCACCTGCTGAAAAGAACTGGAAAAACAGCTATACATACAGAAAACAAACAAAGAACACAAATACACACATAGTATGCCTCATATGTTATCTCTACAGTCTAGTGACAATAATCACTAGAGTCTCAGGTAATCATATTACCACATAAAGTAGGATTGGGCAATACGGCAGTAAATACCATGAGATCAGAGGGATTTGTCTCTTTCATTTTCATTTTTCCTCACACTGTGTCTGTTTGGGACGTTGTGGGCAATGCTGCAAATCAATGAGCAGGACTTGGATTTACAGGATTTTTATACCACTGTGGTAAAGTACCTTGGTTTGTAAGGAATCTAATTAACTATATAAACCTAAAAAGGACATTTAATCCCACTGTGGCATTTCACAATAGATAAATGATATCACCAAACAAAATGATATATGCGCACTATGTTTTACCCACGTGATTATTCTCTGTGTTTCATTATTCACATCTCTCACCCTGAATATAAAGGTGGTCTACAGATGTGTTTGGGCTACAGGTGGTCAGGGATACAGTTACAATCAGCAGATAAGACTAGAGCTTTAAAGATGAGTTGATTAACCAATTAGTCAGCAGCATATTGGAAACTATTTTGTTACAGTAAGTATAAGTAAGTAAAATTAATATATATATATGTAACTTTCTTTAACTTTTCATAGACTGAACGATTTGTCAAGTAATTGTACAATAATCCACAGATTAATCAATAATTAAAATAATCATTAGTATGGGTCTTATTGGATACTTTCATCACTTGATTATGAGAGAAAAACCCTGCAAATAAATTCCCACCAAAACTCCAAAAAGCCAAAGCACCGCAACTCACCAGAGTCCAGGGGGACTTCAGGTGCAGCCGCTGGCCCTGCTGCTCTAGAGGTAACCTCCCTGAGAGCTCCATGTCGCCCCAACAGGATTTTAGCAGGAAAACTGGGTCTGCTAAGACCTTCTCTGCTCCCCCCCGTCCTCCTCAGCCACCCAGCTCCTGGTCTGTGCCATGCACCACAGCCGCTTTCCAACCCCTCAGACTGAGCACAAACACTGCGAGGGAAAATTACCCCCAGCCTGAAGCCCTTACATAACCTCTCCCTCAGCTCCGGCCCCCGGCACTGCCATCCAGCGCTCGAACAGTCTCTCTAAAGACCTAAAAAAAAAAAACTTGAGTGAACATTTTAATCTATCATTTATTTGTTGGAATAATAACTAATTTATAAATCCCTTTCTCTATAAAATATGAAAACCAATGCAGAACCAGTTTCCAGACCCTGAAGATACTCTCTAAGATTTAGCATGGGAGTCCGGCAATGTTAGCATGCCAATGTTAGCATTTAAACATGCTATTGTAGGTTAGCATTAATGTCAGATAAGGCTGACAGGATTTTGGTCAGTTGTTTTGGAGGTGAACTCAACTAAATCTGACCAGTTGATGCCAGTCGCCGTTAGGATTCATCCTGTGGACACCATGAATATTTGTATGAAAATTCATAGCAATCCATCCAATAGTTATTGAAATATTTCACACATGTTGGACCATTACAGCATGATTCCTAAAGCCACAGTGTTGCTGTTCAAAATGGTCCTTCATTCACAATTGTTACTGAATGATAATTAACAAAGTAAAGCTACAGCAAGGATCCAGTGTGTTACAGCACCAGTTGATAACACTGTTATATTGTGTACTCTGTGTCCCTGCAACGTGCTGTGGCTTTTACCCCGCAGTGAACCGCAGCACATTGTAAAGTGAAAGTGCAATGTTCAGTTAATGGACAAAGCAGAAGTGTCTAGATCAGAGTCATCAGCCATGACAGCAACGCTGCAAAAGCAGGTCTCTCTAGTGGGCTGACTACACACTGTCTGCATCTACACACCACCAGATTTAGTAAGAGCTTCGACTCCCACAGCCCTTCACGTAGACCCCCTCCGCTGCAGCGCTTCAAGCTTCAACACTCAGGCACTCGTACCATAATGTTCTGCATACAGTAGTTTCCCACAGAGAACAAGAGCATCAAGAGGGAGGATTTAAAAAGATTTATCATGTAGAAAACCACAGTTTGTTCCCTGATGAATGTTGACAAAACAATCTGAACTCTAGGTCCATGTACTCGCTTGCACTGGAGCTTTTGACCATATTACAGGGTTTTCATTAGTGTCAAGCTTTGACAGTCCAACAAAGAGTACAAAACCCAAAAAGGTATTCCCTTTACTATCACAGAGGAAACTGAGAAGCTAGAACCAGTTTTCGTTCACTGATTCATTCTTTAAGTCATTTTTATGCAAAAATGTGTCAGAAAATAACGAGTAATTGATTGAGCTCTAGTTCCAAGTCAATCTGCTCACGAAGACTGGTGGAAAGCTCCAGAACAAGTGTGTGAGTAAAGATTGTTTTGTCAACTACTGTTTCCAAGGTCAAGACATAAAATGTCCACAAAATGAGAATAAAAAGTGAAAATGCCGGTGTCATTTCTCACAAACCGAGACGACTTCTTCAAACATTATTCAGTAACTGTCATGTGAACAAAGAAAAGCATCGAATCATCATATTACAGAGGCTAGAAGCAGCAAATATTTGACATTTATGCTTTAAAAAGATTGCTTGATCACCAAAATAGTTGCAGATTAATTGTCTGTTAATCGACTAATCGTAAGGTAAAAAGGGCTGTGGCCAGTACTTGATGATAAATCGCACACAACCTTTCTCATCCACGACACTCTCTCTCTCTCTGTGTGTGTGTGTGTGTGTGTGGGACGAGGGACTTTAAGAGGTGTTAATCCTGTTTACAGGATTAAGACAAATCTAGCTTTCCCTGCCTCGGCACGTTCCTCCTGCTCACTACGTCCAAGTGTCCAACGTGATCCTGCGTCAGCCAGTGTTGTTGTGACTGAGGTTTTCATTTCAGTCACCAGTACCAACACCACCGATGTTTTAGACTTCGATAATCCAACTAGCACAGCAACTAATGATTACTTCCATTTTGAATGCAATGTCTGCTGATTTTCTACTAATTGCTTAATCATTTAGTCAATAAATTACTGTCAATTCTGTCAATCAACTAACTGATTAATCAACTAAATGCAACAATATTTTGGTACCTCCAAACATGTAGTAGCCTTGGTGTCTATAGGAAGAAAATATATATTCCTCCACATTCACTGGTCATTCAGCTATACTGCAGACTTCCAATAGAGTTACAAAAGCCAAATCTCAGAGAATATTGATTCTCAGATCTCAGTTCAGATACAGTGTATTGATCATTCTCTAAAATCCAAAGTCTGTTGACCACAATCAGATGATAAAACCTGCATATTTGTCAGCCCCTAAGCGAGACAACCACAAGATCTGATGCTCATGATATTGCCAAAAGAGATGTAGATGATGTCAATGTGAAATATCCAAAGTTTGGACATTAAAACTTCAGGCAGAGCAACCCATGAGGCGTTCAAGGACACAAACAGACATTTATGAGAAAGACTGGGGTTTTATAAATAGCTGCACCGTGTCATTGAGGTAGGGTTCCTCTCGTGAGAACGTACAGTGTCTGTTAGTCGGTGCTTACCGCTAATATCCGCTATCACAACACTTTAAATGCGATGTTCAGCATCAAACAGGACTCACGAGTTGCACACAAACCAAAATGACTCCTGAGAAAGGTGTCAAGGACTCCGCTGCCGGTGTCTTTACAGCGCAGAGGAGCGACATTAACAAGCGTCAATACTAATTCTGCCTTATCTTTTTTTTTTTAAATGGAGCTGTGGAGGAGAACTGGTGATTAAATCGTCCTACCCGTCGGAGTAGAGGCTCACCCGCAGTCAGTCACACCTTCGCTCAGCTCCTCCACCGGCAGTTTGTTGCGTCTCCTCCGCCACCGCCGCCGCTGCTGCTGCTGCTGCTGCTCTGCTGAAGCCACCGCACCACGTGACCCTGCAGCGCTCAGGCTGCACGTGATTACAACGCAGGAGGACATGATGAGGTTAATTATTAAGGTTATTTATTAGAGATTTGTGAGGAATTTGAGTGTGAGTTTTTCCTCACAGAAGAATAAAATAAAAAAAGATTGTTGATATGATGATATCTCATGATTCTGAATCACAGAATAAACTCAAAAAGTTGAGACAATATAATTGTGACTTTTTTTTTATATTATAATTTAGGAAGTCAAATGTCACTGTGTCTTGAGCATTGACTGTATATAAATACTATATATGCTATTATATACAGTCTATGGTCCTGACTTGGACACTTTCTTGCTGTTAAAATTTGTAATTTGTCAACATGAACTTGAACATAACTTCCTGCATTACATTGCAAACAAAGAACAGTCTCCACATTAGTAAAACAAAACACTGAATACTTGTAGTTGAGCAATAGCTGTGCAGCAAGCTTGATACTATATCCACTCTCTAGAATCTAAGACTGCCAAATGTACCGCTATTAATGAGCAAATTAATTTTAATTAGCAAATGTATAGTTTATAGGCATACCTGGCTCCACAAAGCACCTGGGAGGTAATAATATGAGGTAATAATATATGTAAGAAAGTCAGCACTTCTAAATAAGAAGATAAAATGATAACCTCTACAAAACAACACCTGGATTATCAGTATATTATCACTCCACAACAGCATGTTTATTTATTAAAACGTATCATTGTTTTTGCCCTGAAATAATGTGCACTCAATTAATGTGGTAATTCATCGATCACAGTGAGGAAATTAATTTTCCACGTTCTCCATTTTGAGGTCAGAGGTCACCGCCTGCATCAGATGGTGGCGGATTTTCAGGGATTTGCTCCTCGACAGTTCAGCAGGGCGGATATTTTTTGGCAGTACAGGTGTCTCTGAACCTGCCTCGTCAGCTGAGGGACACTGTGTCACCAGACTGTCCGATAGGTGAGTGGAAGGAGGAACAAATTAAGTGTATCACCATCCACTGGCGTTAGAGGGGAAGTAGAAACTTTCATTTCCCTATAAAACAATAGCTGAGTCAGGTTACCTCATGACCAGCTGTTTTACAGAGGGATTTCCTAGATTGAGGATCTTATCACATAAACATGTGCCGTCTTTTTGAGGTGTATGAAACATATATTTTACATATTGATCAAGGGTCTGTAAGCCTCATATTAATACATGTTTCTGTATTTGCTTTTAGTTGCTATGTCCCAAAATGTGTATAGTATATTTGTTTTTATTTGTTCTTACTCAGTGAAACTTTTTGCCAAGTAAAATTCCAATAAGTCCAATTAAAGATAAGATCAATAAAACCTAAATTCAGCAAAACAGCATTTGGATAAACTTTAGAACTCCAAATATCTACATGAAAAAAATGCATGTGTGCATTTAAGGAGCTGCCATTCTCCTTGCGGGACTTTTGTCTAAAACTTTTACACATGTTGATTTGAATTAATTCTGCCCCGTTTCACCTCAAGAATTTCTCCTGTTTGCTTTATTCTTCCCTCCAACAAGAGAGTATTGTGCCCCTTTAAGCCTTTTAAGCCTGTGTCACTCTGTACTTTCTTAAATCTTCTGGCCCTATATACTAACAAGTGTGACAATCTAGAGCAATTAATATTTCAGCAGCTTCTTTATTCAAGCAAATATGATGAATACAAGAAACACGGTATACAAAATATCCAAAGAGGCAAACAGTAGAAACAGTCTATGCTGTGTGGTCATTAGACTAAATGTAATATACTGATAGATACATGTTCCATTATGAGCTCCGTTAGTATAAATATGGAATATTGTTATCATTAATATTTGACAGGAGAAAAATCTAAACATTTAAGTTATGATAAACACATCCATCACAGTCGATATAAAAGCACACATCAGAGTCAGAGGATATGCATATGCAAGTGTTAACAGTAATACTTTTCTATACTAGAGTTACATAGTGTTTTCTGGCTGTGTTTCATGTGATGTCTGAGCCTCGGGTTCAGGCGCCTCCACTGTGTCTGCACGCTGTTCACGGGCTTCTGATTGGTCAGCAAGATCTTCTCTTGCATCTCCTGTTGATTTGGGTTCTGCAGCAGCAACAGCTGTGATCTCATTTTTCTGCTCCTCCGGCTCCTGACTTTTGCTCTCCTTCTTGTCTTCCTCCTTTTCCGCAGGGCGTGTCTTAGCCACAGATTCTGCAAGAGAATAATCATTAGTGAACATGTCATCTCAGTCGTGGCAAAATTACAGCATTACATCCTGTAATGTCTCAGATGTCACCTGCAAACAAATATACATATTTCACGACCCTCACCCTTTGCCCTCTGCGTTTTCGTTCCAGTCACTGTGGTTTTCATCTTTTCCTTTGGGGTGCTTGCACCAAACACCACATTTCCATCCGCATCAGTCCAATATGAAGTCACCCCCAGGTCAGGTGTCCCCTCTATGATCTCCAGCTGAAAGGAGACAAATGTGAGTTAGCAAAAAAAAAGAAAAAAAACTTGCTTTGTAATCAGACTCAACCATCACACCATCAGCCAAAGATTTATGTTCCATTACTTACCCAAGAAGTGCAATGAGGTCAGACTTATCATTGATTGCCAAAGTAATCCACTTGACTACAGTACAAACAAGAAAACTTGCATAATACAAGTAATCTATTAATATCACTTCATTTAATTTCTCTCCAACTGATATTAGAGCTTTTATAAACAATTTAAATATAAATGTGCTGTTCTTTATTGTATATTTTTCATATGATTTCTATTTGAAACACAGTGAAAAGTCCTGCTGCATATCTGATTCAGCCAGATCGAAGATCTTAGGATAGAGTGTATCACATGCTGCGCTATTTGTAAAACCCTCTGAGACAAATTTTGGCCTAAATAAATAAACATGACTTATTGTTGATTTCTTCTGCAATTCTTAACCCAGTGTTTGCTAGCTGAGGAGTGGTTGAAGTTACTGCCGTTACTATCACTATTATTAATATTGCTATAATAATCTAACTTGTGTCTCCTGGTCTCTATTAGCTGCAATTACAGCCAGACAACAGGAGATTTATCAGATAGTGCTGCTGTGTAAACTCACATCCTGGTCCTTCGTACTAATAGTTACATGATGTCATATTAATATATTCTGCTGACTTAAAGGATTACTCCAGTGATTTAGTATTGCACCTCCATAAAGTTGGGGGACTCATAAAAGACAGGAAATTATGCAACGGAGGCCAAAACCTTGACTTTCCAACAAGTCCTCATCTAGTCTTTTGTTAGTCCCTCCCTGGTAAATGTCATCTACAGGCGGTGACTAGTAAAATGACTTTGACATGAGAGATCTGTGGTGTGCCCCTTTAACCTTTTGTGGTCTTTACAGCCGCTATGAAAACACTCTTGGTGTGCATCATCTATAATTTCCAGTCAGTGAACCTAAATAGAGACCTGGGCCTGCTAATCCACATTCACAGGAGTAGAGGAATGAGCAGATTTTACTTCCATATAACCAAATATATAAAGATAATAGAGATAAATCTTAAAGAAAAAGTTTCTCATATATTTCTACTGATGTGACTGTACCATTGGATGCTGGTCGCCGTAGACAACAAGGGGAAACAGCATTAGTTTCCTCTCATTTATATTCAGCTGAGCTTGATCTTGATGCTCTGTTAGTTTGACGTGAATGTCACATTATTTTTGTTTCCAAAGCATCATCAGTCAAGTGCGCCGCCATAGTCCTAAAACAAATATTTGGATCATGGTTGGATTACAGTAGAAGAGGGAGGGGGGGGGGGTTGTCTCCATGCTGGTGGTTGATCTTCAGGGAGTCCGAGTCTACAGAGATCGTGACTGGGAGTGAAAAGGGGAAGAAGAAACTGAAACGAGAGAGTGAATGGTGAAAATGGTGAAGGGTGGAGGGTTCAAACCAAAGTGAGACAACTCATAGAGGAGGAGGAAGTGGGGAAGTACATGCTCATTTTTATTAGTCTCATCAAGAAACAGGGGAATAGAAAGTGAAGCAATAATCACTACTGTTTGGTACTAACAGTGATCTCAGTCTTCATTACAGTGGTTTCATTATCATCATTATGAATAAAGGAGACACCATAACCACTGATGATGGACGGTGAAGGGGATGTCATAACAGTGGTAAATAACATCAATAATTATGAGTAGACAGTGTGCTGACATACAGTGTTCACTACGGACAGGGATACAGTGGAAGTGATGTCATGATCACAACATTCAAAGTGATTGTGAATAAAATGGAACAAAAACTGAAACAGGACTGAATGTAACAGCTAATGACATGGCACATTTCATTAAAGGACCATGTTTTAGTCCATTTGCAACACGTTCTGTGAACTTCTGCTGTTTTATTTTCCAAAACCAAAAACGCAAGAAGAAAAGTGTGAGGAGAGGATGAAACTGTGCATTTGTCTGCTCTAATGTAAGATACAGTTGTTAGCATGTACAGCTAACTAGCTAACTACCTATATAACTCAGCAATAGGCAAATAGCTAAAGAGCACAGGGTGTTATTAAAAAAGTTTTTGGGGTTTATGTCATGTTTTAAAAACCCCTGTTCATGACCAACATATCCACTATGTTGTATCTACCTACTGAACAAAGGTCCTAGATGCATTTAAAGTTTTGGGGAACGTTAGCAGTTCTTTCTTACTCTCAGTTGGATTTTGGAAAGAGGTAGCTTTATGGTTACCAAGTACATTGGCTAGTCCTCATCCAAAAAGCTAATCATTGCTCAGTATGACCTGCTGCTGTTCAAGCAAGATGTTGTTGATATTTCGATGACATGAATTAAAGCTACTAGCTTTAAAGTTTTGGCGTGCCTTAAAAAACAATTAGCAGTGAAGTCCACATATTTGTGGCAAATGGGTTAAAACATGTAAAAAAAAACAAAAAACATAACAATATGGCTTTTTAATAGACATTTCACACTAACATCATGATTTCTCTTCTTACTGCTGCATCCTATCAACACAACGTGTCTTAAACTATTATCTTTGGCTTCCTTTTATGTTTCATTTATTCCTCTAAAGCAAACTAATACCAACATGTTCCTCTCTGCATGCCACAACTTTACACAGACACAAACTAAAATTGCACCAGTAATGTCTTGGTAATATTTTGAGTGGGTAGAATGTCACAAATACCTTTTTATGTTCAGTCAGATTTGTTAGTTTTGGACCAAATATTTAGATTTCTCTCTGAACTATTGGACATTTCGGGTTTTATTTTTTAACACCACTAGAGGGAATTTTATATTCTACACAAACATCTAAAACATCCTCAAGCCTTTTCTTTCTCCTTAAACTGTTTCCAGTGTTTTTCTTTTATACATATTTACGACAAGATTTGGACCGCTTTTATTTTTTCTTGCCGCCCGCCTCATCAGGGATGAAGACACTTACGGTGAAGTCCCCGCTCTCTGTGCCGTACTTGTTCTTCACCAGGATGCTGTATTTGCCAGAGTCCGACGTGTTCACGCCGGTGATGGTGAAGCTGGCGAACTTGCCTGACTCAAACTTCAGGATGCAGTGGTCGTCGGACGTGATCTCCCTGTCGTTCTTCAGCCAGGTGACCTCTGGCACGGGGTCGCCCGAAATGTTGCAGGTGAGATTGAGGGCCTGAGGGACGGATAAGACACAACACACATCAACAAAATGATACATTACAGTAATTATAATTACATTTAAGCATGTAGAATGACTGCCAGATGTCTAATGTGCGGTCTTTCTTCAGCGCCATTCACAAGACACATGTCAATGCGTTGTCTGCAGGCCACGTTATTTCAGCTGAGACAGTTTACCTTGCCCTCCTGGATGGTGACCACATCAGGCAGGCCTCCTGCTACTCGAGCACGGTCTGAAAAAAAACAATGTCTACTTTAATAATAACCATAAATAAACTTTATTCCTACGGCACAAAAACGCTTTCCATAAAATGAAAAACCCGCTTGAAAAATAAACAAATAAATAGAGAACAAATGTAAACATGTCAGAAAAGACAAAAGCAACAAGACAAAATAAATGACCACACTGGACTAAAAGCTTGTCATCAGAACTGCAAAATCTTTATATTAAAGCTCATATATATTACATAAGATATAATGTCCTGTGCATTATGGCTTTAAAATGAATCAAAAGTGACACTAAAATCAAGTGAAATCCAATATTAGTCGGAAAGAATAAGAGTTATACTGTATGAAATGTGTTTTTAGTTTCGAAACTTGTATGAAACATTGTATTCCTAACATTATAATTGAGTTTTCAAGTTTTCATGATGATTCACCAACTTCATCATCAGGCCTAAAAACAGCCAAACACAACAATTAAAAAAGGGAAACCAATGTGAACTCAGCATTACTTACTTCTCTCTGCAATAGCAGCAGCTCTGAGGAGGTTAAAAAAAAAAAAAAAAAAGAATCAAGAAATTAGGTCAAAGGTGCTGAGAATCAGAAGTGAAAGTTAAAACTTGATCTGCACGCAGACAGTACTTTATGTATTTCCTCAAATCAGAAAAAACTGCAGGTTTGAATCTACAAACACCACATCTGTTTGGAACAGTACAATACAATGCTGACATCACGTGGAGCACTGCATAAAGATAATAATATGATAGTTCTCAGGTAAAGGTAGGAACTTACTTGAGTCTCTGGAATTCTGCAAACGCATCGTCAAACGCTGCAAAACAAAAACAAGTCGTAAGAATCAGAATCCAAATGATCAAAAAGTGCAAGACATTTATTTAAGGTCATGAAACGGGGGACTGGTCTCTGATCGGCACATTATATGCACATATAGGTAAGAATTATCTCATATAAAACTATAGTACAGCCCGAGTATGAACTCGCTGTGGCTGAGCAAGAGGTTAGGAATATACTGACAGTCTCACCTTTACCAGACAGCTCAACAGTTCTCCTCAGGCCGTCCTTTCCGTCATGGAACTCGATGGCGTATTTGCCCATGTCTTTCTCTGTGGGCTCTGTGATCTGCAGCCACAGCTGCTCTCCCACCACGCCACTCTTTATACGGTCAGAGAAGGCGATGGCTGATTCCCTGTCAGAGAGACAACACACACCGAAACATGTCAGAATACACAGACTGTACACACATACGCCTGATCCTGAAATCCTGATATTTAAGTATTAGACTTTAGTACTGCATCAAATAAATCTTTCTCATTCGACCTTGTAAGAGATTTGAAATGTCTTGTTTGTCAGGTTTAGGTCAAATAACTTTGAGAGGGAGCGTTATATTTTTTAAAAACTTCATTATTGTTTCAACACAAATGTCCACATGTTGGATTATATATAAATGTGCTCAGAGAACTCACTTGTAGTGCCATGTCACTTGGAGTAAATCGTTATAGTAGCTGACAAAGGTGTAGATTCGGATTCCCTCATCTGTGCTTGTGATCTTCAGCGGAGTGGAGGAATTAGCTACAAGTAAAGAGAGCAACAAAACTTCATTCAAATATTCATTTCTGGTCAAAGACTAAATCTAAAACGAATCCGCTGCAATATTATTTAGGGACAAAATATTTCTCCTCACCGATATAAGTGAAAACTTCATTCATCAAGTCCTTGAAACCTTGAAGAGAGCAAGATTAGATTTTTTTTAAAGTGACACATTCAATGTAATCAGTCACTGACTCTTACTGTGCAACTACTCGAGGTTACCTTGGTCTGTCAAATTCAGTGTGGAAGTGTCCTTTCCTCTGTCATCCTTCAGAACCACCTCATACACACCGGCATCCTTCTTGGAAATCTGACAGGGAAAGCAGAGAAGTCAGATTCAGTCGGAAACAACACTCAACAACATCATCAAGATTATGTAAAGGAATATGATTTGTATTCATCTGAAAAGGCAAGCTTTTCTCTTCTGCTATGGGTGCTGCAGAAAACACATATATGACGCAAAAGCAAAAAAGCCGACAGACAGACAGACGAACAAACAATTAAAAAAAAAAAAAAGCATTCTCAGGCAAAACCAGAAGTGGCCGTTGGCCCATGATGACAACAGAAAACTGATCCCAACTTTTAGTCTTCTCCAGATTAGGTCGCGGCCACAGTCTGCTGTGTCTGTGTCTGCTGGGAAGTCGCGCTGAAATGGGGACACATGTGACATCATGTTTATTTGTTATTATTGACCTGGGAGGGCGGCATGCCGCTGTGCGCCACTCGGACAGACATTGCGAGACGATACAGCGGGATGGGAGTGAGTAATGAGAGACAGAATGAAGACAGAGTGCTAATACAGTCTGAGAGAGAGGAGCGGTTTTAAACAGAGAGGAGGACAGAGAGAGAGAGAGAGAGAGAGAGAGAGAGAGAGAGAGAGAGAGAGTGACAACGGCGTCCTGAAATTTAGTGTGAATTAATTGAATGGTTTTGTTAGGTTTTATAATATGATGTTACATTTATTTTATTGACAGTTAATGCTGAAATTCCCCAGGGAAATTAGTAAAAAAACAAACAAAAAAAAAACAGCCTCTTGTTGACTGTTAACTTACTTCCTCTTACTCAAAGACTGTAAGGATCCATATGTTTTTGGAGTATAGACATAACCAGAGCTGTGCAAGGATTCCACCGTTTACAGTCATATATGCAAATGAATTCAGTGACAACTATACAATACAGAAATATACATATATATATATATATATATAGTCACATCAATTCACACTTCACACAGGTGTCTTTTCTCATGTTCTCACCTGAGCTATCTCCAGTTTCAGCACTCCCTCGGTGAAGCCCAGATGTTCGTCTGCTTTGATCTCACGCCCGTCTTTGTACCACAGCGCCGAGGTCTCCTTCTTCATGTTGCCCACCTGCACGGCGCCACGACAGAGGAACGTGAGAAATCGACACACTCACAAGAGTTTCCGTAAAAGAAAATGTGCAGCGTATGAGATCCTCCAAAGTTCTGTCTCACCTTGCATTTCAGCACAACGCAGCACTCTGGTGTCACCTCATAACTCAAATACTCGATAAAGTGAGGACCTGCAACAAATGCGGCAGTTATGAGAATAATTCCAGTAGAGCTGAAAAGTTTACATGATCAATCAATTAGTTGATTAACAGAAAAGCATTTTGATAATCTGTGTTTGTGGGGTTGTGAAACTGTTGGTTGGACAAAACAAGACATTTAAAGATGTCATCTTCAACTCTGGCATTCTGGGGGTTTTTTTATATTGTTTTCTAATATGTTATAGACAAAAACAACAAACTGTTTAATCAGGAAAATAATCAGCAAATTAAATGATAATGAAAATAACAATCCTGGTTAGTTGCAGGTGTAATTTGCAGTGACCCGAGTGTATACCTTGCTTTCTGAACCATTCTTTCCTCTGGAACTCAGATTCCTTCTGCAGCTCCTTGAACACTGCAAATAAAAAGAGAAAAAGATTTTACGGTTCAAAATGACACTCAATCTAACCACAAAATCTAACGATGGGATAATGTTTGGTTGCTGTTAAATAGTGTGATAACGTGAATCTAGTTTGGGATGCTCATTTACAATTTGCTTTCTTAAATGTTTTACTGCCCTCTACTGTCCTGGCTTTTGCATTACTGCCTACTGCACATAATAAGCCTGGTAGGTTTTGAAAGGCTGATATAATACTATGATTTTTATTAATAGCTGATATCTTGGAGCACTTTTAATAATTTCTATTTGTATGCCAAAAAAGTAGGTATCCACTAATTTCCCATACATTTAATTTCAAATATCATGAGGCACTAAACTCTGACTGAAGTCCATCCTGATCAGAAACATTTCAGGAGGTTTTTATGTGGCTGAACATACCGTCTCCTATCAGTACCAAGCTGGACTGGTTGGTTGCTTTCCCATCCTGCATCTGGAAGGTGAAGGTGCCCTCATCTGCCGGAGTCAGAGACTCCATGGTCATCTCAATCACGCCGGTGTTCTTGTCAAAGTTCATCTTATATTTCTGCGAAACGAGGGTTAAACATTTTCAGTCTCATCCACCTGAAAAGTGAAAGTGTGTCCAAACTTTTGACTGGTACTGTATGTTTATATCGTGCATGTAAATGACTTGGGTTTCATTTCCTTTGTTGCTTACTGACCTCCCCCTGTGAGAGAAGGTTATCATTGAACACGTAATCGATTTTGCCATTAGCTGATATCTTCTCCGCCTGCAGCCAAAAGCGAACTCTGCCTTTCTCCAGCAGCTCCACGGCCAACTCTGACTTCAGGGGAATAACTGGTTTGAAGAGTGAGAGTGAGAGTGTGAGAGAGAGAGAGAGAGAGAGAGAGAGAGTGAGAGAGAGTGAGAACCAGCTCAAAGGAACTGGTTCAGTCCGCGACACACGAGAAATCAGCAGTGAAGCAGTGATGTGAGGCCGATACACTCACTGGGGAATTTGTGGTCATGGCTGATCTCCAGCAGCCTCTTCAGCTCTGACAAAGATAAGAGGAGGAGATTCATAAACAGAAGGAAACAAAAAAATAATATATTCTTACATTAACTTCTTGAGGCATGCACCCACCTTCCTCAGAGAGGTTGTAGCTGGATGAAGCACCATCAGTGTGGGTGACGAGACAGGAGTAAATACCAATGTCCTCGTCCCCAGGAGCGTTGAAAAAAGCTTTGGACCTGCGAGAAAAAGTAGTGTTTTAGTCATAATAATCAAAGTGTTTCAGCTTTACCATTTCTGACATCTCTCACTTGTTTCCCTTGGTCTCTACAGTCAAGCGGGAGTAGTCTGTGATCTCCTCGTAATTCTTGGACCACACAAATTTGGAGTCAGGGGTCAGGTCGCAGCAGTCAAAGTTCAGGGAGATAATACCGTCATCATCAACATCCACAACTATCTCATTGGTGCCTGAAGCGCAGAGAGGAGAAAGGGACACCTTGAAATGATGTCATACCGTGGTAAACTGCATCATTATCACCATCGTCTTTTTTTGTTTGTTTTTGTTTCGTTTCTCCCACCTGGTTTGGTCACAGCTGGGACTGGCTCTGTCACATCTGAGGTTTTTCCAACGCCGGCTTTATTCTGCGCACGAACACGGAACACATACGTCTCTGCTTCCTTCAGATTCTTAATCTGTGAAATGAAAGGAAATAACCAGGTGACACGGCGGCTGCTGAAACGCGGGAAAATGAATGAGGAGAAGGTCCCAAGATGACGGCGACCTTAAAGTACGTCTTCTCCGTAGCCTTGGTGTTGACTCCTCTCCACGCCTCCTCCGGTGCGTCCGCTTCCTTGATGTCAACGTAGAACCCGTTGACCGGGTCACGGCCCTGGTACACAGGTGGTTTCCATAGCAACACCAGAGAGTCGCTTCTCACCTCTCTTATCTGCAGGTCATGAGGAGGTCCTGTGGTCCAGAAACACATCGGAAATACACATTTATACCTCCAAACCTGACGATCAGGATGTTTGATTGTGTTTTACTAACGTCCAAAGGATCCATAAATATCTCATAGGTGTCGGGCAACAATTGTGTGAACAGTTATTCTTTTATTTCATGTGAACAAGAGTGACAAGGTGTGTCAAGGACTCGACCTTGATGCTGGTCTTCACAGTCAAGACCTGAGACTTTGTCCCACCTCTGATTGTAAGTATCAACATTATATTAAATTGATGTAACAGTTACATTTGGATTGTGTGATCATCCTTACCGGGAAACTATTTAGTATTTACTGTTTAGTATTGTACCTCCATAAAGTTGGGGGATTTGCTAGTGACACGTAAAAGAAGGAATGGGGAAAAATCAATGGAACATGGTCGAACACATCCTGACTTTTCTTCCTCACTACGGGTCGAAATCCAAAAACACTCAATCCTACATTTCCCATAATGCCTCTCACTGGCATCTGTGTTTGCCTTCCTTTGCCAACATCATCCAAACTCTCTGAGAAAAACTCGTGGTCCACGCGGAGGTCTAACCAACCTGGCACAGCGATGGTCCACTCCTCACACAGGAAGGTGTCACTGGGCAGTGATGGGATGCCAACACCTGCCATGTTGGCTGCTCTCACCTGGAACTGGTACTTCCTGTTCTCCTTCAGGTCACACACCTGAAGACAAAAACCTCGCTCGGTAAATCGTCTTGTTCGGCTTTAAAAACCCATATCATCTGTAGCATTTCGTGTCCGCTCACCCTGTATGCCCTCTCGCTGACAGACTTGATGTTGGCCTCGTGCCACTTCCCGGGCACGCCATCGATGACCTCACGGTAATCCACAAAGTAGCCGGTGATGTCAGCGCCGCCGATGAAAGTCGGCTGTTTCCAGCCCAGCACCATGGAGTCACGCACACACTCCAGGACACTGATGCCATAGGGTGGAGCAGGGGAGGCTGAGATGACAGAAAACTCAAATTAACACCACCGAGCGTCAGCAGGGAAACCGGTTGATGTAATGGGAAACTGAAGCGCTACAGTGAGGTGATACTTTTAAATCCCACATCTCTGCCCAGCTGCTAACCTTCATTAAAAATACTCAGTCTTGCAAAATATCAAACAATTCCTTTATACTCTCAATTAGAAAGGTTAAATTCTCACATAGCATGTGTGGTACCAAAATACTAACAAAGGACACAGTGATTTCCGAGACTAGGTTGAAGGAGTGACAATGTGATAATAAATTGGCCTGTCATACACAAATAGTTACGTGAACTTGATACCCTCCTTTATTTAGTCAAAGTGTCCCAGAGGTCAACATCTAACGTCCACAGTCTGCTACCGAAAAGGTCTCGGATCACAAGTGTCCTGCTCCTGTGTTTGCTGGATGACCCACTTCTCAAGTACAGGGTGGGATTAGCTGGCTCCTGCCATTGACATACTACTGTGTGTGTGTGTGTGTGTGTGTGTGTGTGTGTGTGTGTGTGTGCGTGTGCGTGTGTGTGTGTGTGTGTTAAAGTGCTCTGGGTATTCTCTGGAGTTGGCGGCGGCTCCCGAGGTGCCAGGGAACGGACACCGAGCCACCGAGTGAGGAGGTTGCGGGGAAAGGTGGTGGCCAGCAAAACTACTGACAAGCGTGACTGTGTTGAGTTAAAGTTTGGTTGGTGTTTGACAATGACTTACCTTTAAGAAGAGAATACCAGTAGAGCACTTCACCTCCTGTTTATTGATTAATTTAGGTCAAACACTTGAGAGTTTGTATGAAAGTCTTGCAGAATTGATATAAGATGGGAAATTCTTCTTTTTACTGGGAGAGTCAGGGTGGGATATTTCTAATGGATCCTAAGGGGGAAATGATTTCTATCTGCGACCGGTGCTCACCTGTCGACTCTCTCCTCGGCCTCGCTGTCTCCCGATTAGCAGAGGCCCCTACAGAGAACTTACGTGCCTGCCCGGCCTCAGGCCCCTTGGCCGTCTCTACAGCCTGATGCTGAGCCTCAGCAGTGACTGGGTCTAAGTGTGCAGCTGCGACTATGTCAGTGGGTGAGTTAGAAACTGAGCCTGACACAGACTCTGAGACCAGGTCTTTTGCCAGGTCAGGGGCCCAGGACACACTGCCTCTCTTGCCCCCCTTGTTTTTACTCTCCGCTGGGACGGGCTCTGTGAGGCCTGAGCTTGCAGCCCCGGCCCCCTCCCTGGCTTCAGTGTCAGCCTGAGCTTTTTTATTGCACTTTTGCATAGTGTCAGGGAGGGACTGGACAGTTTCATGCGTGCCCGTCCAGCGTGGCCTGTGCTCGGTTAGTCGGCCCACGTTACCCCCCGGCCCCATCTCCGGCAACACACCATGAGGGATGCCGCCCCCTACAGGAGTTAGCAGAGAAAAGCAGAAGAGGCTTTTTTTAAAAACAGGCAAAAGATCCATTCACAAATCACAGCTTTTATTCCGATCGCACAACAACATCGAGAGAGCAAAAACAAGAGACAGGCTTAAACACAAAAAACAAAAAAAAAAAAAGCAATATTCATGACATCAGCCTATCAAGTTCAGTAAAATGTCTTCATCCGACTAGGAGTGAAAAATGAAGACAAGATGACCAACAAGTGACATCCAAGTGCTGAGGCTGCTCGGCCTCATTAGGGATTATGAGGACATGCAGGCGTGTGAAGTAGAACAGGCCGTGAGTGTGGGAGTTCAGGCTTTGCACCAACCCTTTATGAAAAAAAACACTTTAGAAACAATGCCAATGGATTTCATTACCTCATAGATTTCCACTCAAGAGTGTGTCAAGTGTTAGCTATGATCTCATTCACATGAAGTAGTGTAATTGGTTTTAGCTGTTCTTTGTTTACTAAACTTTGAGCCTCGACTTTTCTTGAATGAACGGTGCTATGTACCGTAAATAAAGTCTGTTAGCAGTAGTAGTGGTAGTCACACAGCTTGTGTGTGTTTCCTGGGAACCATTGCTGACATCGGCATTCTTACTGAGTGTGTTTCACAAGGGAAAACAGAGCATGCCGCTCAGCACAAAGCTGGCCAGTGAATGAGCGACATCCAGAGGCCGGGAGCTGCGTTAGTTGTAATGCAGAGAGAATTCGGGGGAGCACATGCAGGAGATCAGAAAGAACATCTCTTGACATTTATTACAACAGCAGATTCGCTCTGTTTTGAATAGTATGTGTTAGGGCTGGCCTTCAATTCAGTATTATCATTTATCAACTTTCTGTGGAATCATATCTTGATAATATGAAGATATTGTTGTTTTTTTATGTTTTTTTGCAGAATTCTGTCAAATCAAATCTTTTAATGAACAAAAATGACTTTTTAAACTAATAAAATAAATTATTAAAGTTGATGTTTTACATGTATAGAGTTCAAAGGGGAAAAAAGTCTCAACTTGAACTGAAATTAGATTTTGTCAGTCAGTTATTAATCTCTATGTGTAAATTCAATTGAGTACATTCAGTGTCTCAATCATAGGCCTACACTAAATGTGAGAATACAGCATCATTAATTTTTTGGAGGAAGCTGCCAAGATGATACAAAAGTAGCCTAAAAAAATCACAACATAATTTTTGTGTCATGGGTGTGTGTATTTTTAACTAAGCATATAAATAATTTATAGTCCAGTCGTTAAAATTCAGTTAACTATCCAACAGAGCAACACCACTGCCAGGTTAGCTGCTACGAGAGAGGTTATGACAGAGAAAACTCAGTGCAGTTTGAGGGTACCGGTGGGGTGGGAGAGGTGTGTGTGTTGGTACCTTTAGCACCACGTGGGGGGGGGGCGGGGGTTGCCGACACGTTCTGTGCCCAGGATAGGTGAGGGATAATGGTGGGGGTGGTGCGTGAAACCGGGCTAGTTTGTAACAACCGCTGAATTGGATCGCACCGACCCAAATTAGAGGTAGTCTACAAGTTCTGACCCTGACCCCGCCTCAGGCTGTGCAGGGAGGAGGAGGCGGTGGTGGTGGTGGTGGTGGTGGTGGGGTAGGTGGGGGTAGATGTGGCTGAACAGGGTGGTGGGGTAGGTGCGGCACACGTCAGTGCAGAATAACGTGACAGGGTGACAGAGTGGGACCATGGTGGAGAAAGTGTGGGAGTGTAGATGCTGATGGTAAAAACAGCTGAAGACATGTCTCAAGAGAACAACAGTTGACAACAAACTGTTTGTTAAAATACCTAAAATGTTAATTCTTGCATGACTTTTCTAAAAAAAAGTTCAAAAAATTAAGCCATAATTTAAAATTAAATTATACTATTAGAAGCAACACTCTCATTACTCATCAGTCTGTGATGTTCAAGTCATTTTGTGTCTCGCCCACGTCGACTTTCACATTCTGGTTTTCTTCATTTTCCAGAAAACATTTCAGCAATCTCCAGATAATAGATTTATATATTATACTAAAATTAATCTAATGAAAATGTTATGATGACGATGTTAAAAGTTAGCATTAAAGGGTCCAGAAAGAAGCCCTTTGTTTTTATGATTTTAACAGACTGGTATTAAAAACGGCTCTCTACTCTTAGCATCACAGTTAGCTTCAATATTTCTTGTAGAATGAAATATCATAGGAATATCCTAACACGATGTTGTCTGTATTCATCCATGGAAGTTTACAAAACTACACACTAACAGCAAAATGGACTCAGAAATGCAAGCTTTTTTTAAATAGTGATTTAAAGTGGATTTGTCCTTTAAGTCACAAATCTGAAGAGACAAACATGATAAATCGTAATCCTCAGTATCCTCTGACTCCTACATTATCCTCTTTATTTAAATGAACAGTATGAACCCTCCACCTCACTCACCAATAGCAGCCTTCACCTTCACAGGCTCAGACTCCTGGGAGAACTGGCTGAGCCCTGCAGCGTTCACCGCCCTCACCCTCAACACGTACTGCTCTCCTGTCATCAGACCGTGGCAGATGAACCTGGAAATATGTTTGATCAGCTGTGGTAGTGGCAACACTTTTTCTATAACATTAGTCTTGTCTGTAAAATGCATTGTACAGAATATGGGGTGTAATTTTACCTGGTAGCTTTCACTGGCTTGTTGTTGCATGGCTCCCACACGTTGCTGCCCATAATGCTCGCCTCAATGTAGTATCCAATCAACTCTTTGGCCTCACGGGACGCTTCCCAGGACACAACGACTGATGTGTCTGTGTTTCTAGTGGGAACAACTTTGCCTGGGGCAGATGGGATATCTGTGGACCGGAGAAATGTACACTTTAGGGTGATTAATGCTGCTTTTAGTGACACGTGTGTGTGTGTGTGTGTGTGTGTGTTTTGTGTGCTCCTCTACCAAGCTTGTCGCCAACTGTGGTGGCCTCGGTCGGGTCAGAAGGTTCACCGACACCGGCAGAGTTGCAGCAGCGGACACGGAAGCTGTATGACTTCCCCTCGGCGAGATCAAACAACGCAAAGCGAGGGGACCTGACTGGGATCTCTGTGTTCACCCTCTGCCAGCTGTCTGTGCCGGCGACGCACTGACGGACAAGGATACAGGGGTCAGACTGTCATCCATCACAGACACACTGGCAAAGTGTTTTTAACAATTCAAGGGTGAATTCGTCTTTAAAAGGTAAGAAGATATAATTTACCTTCTCCACATAGTACATGACACCCTCCAGGCCTTTCTCTCCAGGCGGCTTCCAGCTCAGCACCACATAGTTCTTGGTTGCCTCTGTCACCTCTAGTTCACGAGGTCTGCCGGGAACGACGCCCTCTGATGGTCGAAAGATAAAGGATAATGTCAAAAACAGCAACCGGGCAGCAGACAACACTGGCCGCCTCGAACTTCGTGTCACATGGTTTGATGGAGAATATGACTTATATAAAAGTGAGATCTCGTACCTGCAGGCTCCTCCTCTGTGACAATGATCTGACCGGTCCAGGGGGCAGAAGTACCTGACAACAAATACATCATCATCACGAATTCCCTCCTCCTTTTTGTACAATTAAACTGAATAAAAAAAAAAAAATATGTAAAAATAAATATGTAAAATTTTGTGTGTTTTAAGGAGCTGTTGTGTGTATCAGTTAACCCTATTTTACTGCTGATATTCTACTACTTATATGAGGTAATAAAGCTCTTTAAATATGGATTAGAGTCTGGAAGGGTGTGTTTGAGTTCGGTTGTACCTCTCATGCGTGCGCGGTCAGCTGGGTCCATGGCAGCCACCGGTTCAGACACTCTGGACGGGTGACTCATGCCACTCTTGTTGACAGCACGCACACGGAAAGTGTACGAACGGCCCTCCACCAAGCCGGTCACAGGGAAACGGGCAAACTTAACCGGAGTGTCGTTGCACTGGATCCAGTGGGTGGTTCCAACCTCACACCTGTAAACATATTATACATTTAATTCATATGTATTGAGGTTTTTTATTAACACATTTCAATTAATTCCTGGCAGCAGAGTATGTAAAGGAAGATCTACTACAAAGAAAGGGGTGGATCTCGTTTTAAGAACCAAAAACCATCTCAATGTAGTTTTAAATCTCCTCTCTCAGGCTTCTCTCTGGAGCTCGAGTAACAACAGGTTGGTGATCCAATCAGAAGAGAGGAAGCTCTGATCCTTTCTTCTGATTGGCTGACTGTTTTCTGAGTGATCAAATAAAAATATGTCAGATTTCAGGTAAACACTCAGAGAAACCAAATCCTGCAAGGCTGGACGGTGGGTTTGGGTGGGCTTGGGGCTCGGGGCATGGCTGAGAAGGGTGACTGCTTTGTTGTGACATCACAAAGTTACAGAAGTCCTGACAGCTTGTTTTAAGGCTAAGTTTCTGAAATCAGGCTGTGTGAGTTTCTCTGTGGACTGAGCACTTTGATACTTTCACAGTATTAATATAGAACCTAGAACCTGCTTTGTAATTGAAAAAGACATGGAAATGTCACTTTATACAATATGGGACCTTTAATTCTTTGAGGGGTTTTATCCAGAGACAAATGGTAGACATGTTTAGCAGTGTTAAAGTGTTAAAAGTAACACAGGCAGCCTCACACTGACTGACCTGTCCACAAAGTAGCCCAGGATGGAGTTGCCACCATCGACAGCTGGCTGCTTCCAAGTGACAATAATGTAGTCCTTGTTGGCATCCAGACAGCGAACATCCAGAGGGGCACCTGGAGCTCCTTCAATCTCAGCATCAGAGTCTAACACACACAGTAAAAACAAATACAGCACATGCATGACATGAGTTTTTATGTTCCATTGTTTTTTACATTTAATATTGACCCAACAAAAGTTTAATTCTCGCTATTAAAGTGTGTTTTTCCCTGTGTCGAACTGTGTAGCTGCAGGGCTTGATGCCAGGAATGTCTCTGGTCCTCAAGTCAAACACGAGCTGAGAGCAATCAGTGGCAGGAGGACAGAATTAGCAGTAGCCCTCCCCGGAGTGAAAGGGGATAAGAGAGGTGACTCTTAAAGAAACATAAGGGTAAAACCAGGGCACCTAGAAAAGGCAACAGACAGGAGTTGCATCATAAAGTAAGAGCATGTATTAACAAGGTATGGGTGTGTTTGTATTCTACAACCATAAAGGCAAGATTTTACTTACACTCTTTATTAAATAAATTAAAGTATCATCAAAATTGTATCTAGATTTTTAAATTTTATGTTTCAAAAAGTCACAAAAGAGAAATTCAGCTTTATAAAATGATTACTTCAGAATCTCAATTCATCAACGTAGGCTTTTAATAACATCGTACTGAATGACAAGAGATGATTAGATAAAACAAGTGGTAATAATTATAACTGGAGTGTCTTTTGGCTCACAGAGAGAACCATAGAGAGCAGTAAGGAAACTGGCAGCCTATTGTTTCTCCTTGAAGCTGATATTTACAGTATCTATCTGCGCTCACAGCCAGACTCATTCCACAGCTGAGCTCTCTGAGAATAGCCTGACAGCAGCCAGGCTTATATAGCGTTTTGTTATGGAGACTGTACCTGACGTCGCCTTTACTGCGTGACCCTGAGCTGAAGCAGGGGGAACGGCAGGGTCTATTTTCTAGCTTGTTCATACTCAACATGGTTCCTCCGTAGAAGTGAAAGCTTCGAAAGGTCACATTGTCTCTGAAGGCAGGAAAGATAAGCTTCACTGATCACTTTTTCCAAGGTATTCAAACAGATGCCAGGGAGCTGCCACTCTGCTGGGTCTCTATTAGTGATATCCTATTTAAAACCACTCATTCACATTCGAACACTTTGACCATTACATGTGGTTTTGTCATCAGGTGCCAGAGGACACGCTGTTGTGACTTTGACCTTGATCTGATGACATACTCGATAAAAACAAAGCTGGGGGTACCAGGCTGCATTTAGCTTCTGTTGACTAGGGTTGCAATTGAAATGTCAGTGGGGAGATATCTCAGATACGTAACATTTTAAAAAATTAAGAGCTTGAGGACCTTTCCTAAATGTGCATGAGGTAAGATTTTAGAACAGGCTTTTGTTGATGTTTTGATATTTAAACTAAAATAGTCAGAGCTTAGAGTCCTCTAAAGGAGTCTCAGGCTTGGAGGCAACACTGGGGCAGGATCTCAGTAATGTTATTTAGGCAAAATAGCAATGAGGGAATATTCATAGTGAGCTGTTCCTAAATACCTAAAGCACATACTGTACCTGCACTCACATCGTACCACAAAAATTTGTGGTACGATGGTTATGGATGAGTGTATGTATATATGTGTGTGTGTGTGAAATGTAGGTGGGTTGAAGGACTGCTTTGTTGTGACATCACAAAGTTACAGGAGTCCTGACGGCTCGTTTTAAGGCTCAGTTTTTGAATACAGGCTGCGTGCATTTCTCTGTGGACTGAGCACTGTGATACTTCAACAGTATTTATATAAAACCTAGACCTGCTTTATAATCAAAAAAGGCATGGAAATCTCACTTTATACAATATGGGCCCTTTAAGTCTTAGGGAAGGTTCCCCCACCTCTGACAAAGACGTAGGCTGAGTAGGTTTCGTATCCAGACTTGGTGGTGACACGCAGGGTGTAGAGACCCTCATCCTCCTTGTTGAGGTGTGTGAGTGTCAGCGTGGCTCGGTCTCCACTCCAGTGCATGTGGTTCCATTTAGATGGAGACAGGAGAACATCTGGAAAACACGCCAAGGAATGTTAGTAAGTTCACACATTTTAAACATTTTATACAAAAATTCTGCACCAATTTCATACTTTTTAGAGCCCAGATTTGCTACATGCATCATATAGGAAGCAGGTGTGACAGGGCTTTGAAAAGTGAGTCAAAACCACAGCAGTTATCCACACTGATCGTCCTGTTGGAGTCATTAGACAAACAGCTCTGAGTAGTCTACTAACCATCTCTGTACCACTCGATCTCTGGCTGGTAGCGATGCAGGGCAGGGTAGATGATGACCGTACACCCCAGACTCATTGTCTCCCCCTCTCTTCCAAAGGATACACCAAACTTATCAACAATGTGAGTCTGGAAGGTGATGCCATACTCAGACACTGGGCCATCTACAGACGAAGCAAGAGACGGCAGAGTCAGAGTCTGGACTCGCATTATTGTGCGACAGTAAGTCTTGCAAGAGAAAAAACTACTGTTCAAATCAAGTGAAGGGAGCAAAACGTTAAAAGAGACAGAAAATGATCACATCAAAAATCATATCCAACAGAAAAAAACATGAACAATACACTAAACCGCAACTTTTTAACCACACAGAAGAAGATGGAGAAGAAAACATGTATCAGCAGAGTAAGGATCAAGGACAAAAACACAAACACAGACCAAAGGAGTGACTCTGAAACTACGATACAGTGCTCACAAAAAGAAACGGGTGAAATATGACAACTTGTGTTCATGCATTGAACAGTGAAGCACAACAAACACACGTAAAAACCTAGTTGAAATGAAATGAAAAAAACTTTCTGTAGCTGAATTAGTTGAAAGCACAATAAAGATCTTTATTGTGATGCTAACCATCTACATATTAATTTACAATGTGTGCGGGATGAAATAATGATTTCTAAAATTTAAAAGATATACTTTATAACAGTTTGCTTGCACAAGATCTTGCACAATCCTTCTACTTGAATTACATGAGAACATAAGCTCACAAGGTTGCTTTCTTGCAACATTGTAGATGCGCACAGACTGATGTTTTTTCTATCGGAGGTGTTGAAAAATCTGTAGATTTTTCCAGATGAACTACTGTACTTCAGATCTCACAGTTCCACGAGAACACTGTGAACTTTACTGTGGAAATTTCGACACAGAAAAGAGTGGCCATGCATTGACACATAATAGTCAGTGGTAACAAATGTTTTCAAACCAGATTCCTGTGAACCTGTTACCTTCAGTACTGGCCCCTGCATTGTCGCCGCAGCATTAAAGAAACAAAGAAGTTGTTAGTGCAGTAGCACCCACTGTTCTTCCATCCCCCACCACCCTACTCACCACTGAGGTCATGCATCAACAACCTGATAAGGATAATGTTAATACAATAGATATAGAAAGATTTTTTTTTTTTTTTTTTAAATGACTAATAAATGCATAATGATAAAAAAAGCTGCATTGTTTAAACTGAATCAAATAAGAACACATAATTGAAAGGTGGACACTGGGACAAACCCAGAGAGCATTATTGCACAGTTGTTTAGCTTTGGGGAGATTTTTAGCTTCTTTCAGCTCATTGGTTTGGTTTTACTGCAGGTTTGCTGCAAAAAGCCCTGACCAACTGACTGTATCATACATGCAAACAGGAGACAAATGAAGTTAGCAATTAGCTGGAGAAAATTTGAGCTAAAGAACCAAATATCTTCAAGAGTTGGTGGAGACCGAACCAGAGCTATAAGGAGCGTGGATTATTGACTTACATTTATCAGGTGACCCGAAAAATGACTCTTAATGAATGTTAATGTTGCTTAACGTCTGATGGATATGTGTAAGGCAATCCTTTGCTAAAACATTAGCAGTAGCAGTTTAGTAAGGCAACAATATGTCAGGGCCATGTGTCTTTCACCTCAACTCAATATTCTACCCCCAAGTGGCCATTTATTAATAACTGCAGCTTTAAATACATAAAGGAGCATTTAATACTAAAGCAAAAAACAACTGTGAACACACTTACGTCTGGGTGCTGGCAGGGACTCATCAATTTCACCTTTGAATCCTATGGGGAATAGCAGCAGTTGCTATTAATATATGCAACATACACATAATATTATATAACGCTTGTGATGAACTGCATGTACAGTATTATACTGACAAAATACCAACATCATATGAGTCATCACAGTTGGAGAGAATAGTTAGTTTTATTCACGTGATCTAAGATAATTTTGTGACCGTGAGAAAACAGTTCTTTCATGTGGAGAGCACTGGGGTGTGAAGATGATGTTGCGAATCAGTGAAACCTACTCTTAACAACGACAGAGGCAAACGCAGACAGCTCTCCCTTGGAGTTCATGGCAGAGACGCGATACTGCGCTGTGTCATCAAAATCACATCTGAAAGAGCAGAGTATCGGGTGATCAATGTCCATGATATGCACATTCTCTTGAGGATTCATGTGTACACTGCCCTTCCCCCACCTCAACCTCAAGCCACTCAACCATGTAAATAATACCAACTATGTGAGCCCTGACTGTAAGCGTTCCATAACTCCTGGACAGGAATACTCTTGCAATAAATAGACACCAGTGGTGATGTCATGTGCACCAGGTGGTGTGCGTTTCTGTACATCAAAATATCTGTTGTGCGCTGTTCTCAAAGGGAACCAACAACTGGACTCAATGAGACATATTCTATCAAAATATAGGAATAATTTATGGTTATGGTATTTGTACACCCTTGTGAGTTTTATCTGTATGTTGAAATAGTCAAATGTGATCTTAGCTATCTTTAGACACGCTCTTTGTTATCTGTGGCAGCCTGGGAAATAGCATGGCTCTTCTCCAGGTCACAGTCCTACAGTGTCAGTCTGTTTAGACAAGTTAGAAAGGGATAAAGGGAGATATCAACATTACCATGCCACACATAAAAAGCGAAGCTTTGGTTCTTCCCATTGAGGACAGTCTTTGACTGTAAGCTGAAACCAAAGCTAACGTAAATTGCAGTATATATACAGACGGTCTACTTCAACTAAAGAGGATTTAATCTAAACAGTCCATTATTTAAAGACATGATTAAAATGAAAAATACATTTTTCAAATTCTAATCCTGTGGCCCTGTGTTAACTCTTCATCCATCTCTTTTTTCATGCTAAGGACGTATCAAAAATAATTTTTTCAATTTCAAAATCAATCTTTTTTCCTGTAAATTTCTGAGGACAATTGAATTGAATCAATTGAAATTTTGGGAGAATATGAAGCCAAACTGACCTGTTAGTTTGGGGATTGCTGAGCTAAGTGCTGAGACCTTGAAGACATTAATTTTTCTGGCTAAAGCTTATGAAAAAAGGGACTAAGAGAAGCGCAGCTCTAGCTAATAGTGAGCAAAGCTAACTTGGCTTGACTTTCCACAATGTTCCCACTGATTCTACAAATGCCGTCAAGGTGGTGAAATGTGATGGATGTTAACCTGTGACACAAGATGTCAGTGGCTCTTTTAAGAATAATTTATTTCAAGCACTGTGGATAGGCAGAGCTACACCTACCTGTTAATCTCCAGTGAGTGCACGCTGTATCTGCTCTCAAGTTTATACTTGCCAGGGTTGGCAAGGGGGTCAAGTGCCACATTGTTTTTGTACCTTGTAGTGGAAGGCAGAAAACACAAAAGAAGAAAGACCAAGGGAAGTAGAAAAAGCTTGAAAAGGAGTCAAGGATAAAAAAAATAAAGCCATGGAAGATAGATGGATCTTAAAGAAACAGGCAGGCTGTTGAGAGAACAGAAAGGACAGACTTGAGGTCATGTTATGGGTGATGTGTGTTGGTGACCTACCAGACGACCCGTGGGTCGGGCCAGCCACTGACAGTGCAATGCAGCCGCACACACTGCTTCTCCCACACTGTGTGGGAGCGAGGTTTAATCACAAACTCTGGGGCGTGCATCAGGCTGTCTTCGTTCATGCGCTTGAAGTGTTCCTCGTGCTCATGGATCTAAAGATAGCAGAGTAAATCACTCAGGACAACTTTACCTTTGTCAACTATAAACTGTTACACCAAACAAAAAATGTAAAAAAACCCCCCAAAAAACGTCCTATGATTTGGACAGGAATTCACAATGCATGCTTGAAGCAAAACAACGTTTTTATATACACAAATTGAGCAAAATCCCAGCATATATTTACTGTTTTACACATACAGGGTGTATGCACTTGTTGACAACGTGACACGTGTTATGAGTGTTACTGTATGTTATTCATTATGTCCTATGAATAGCTAAGGGTGTTGAGGCCCCCTCTAGTTGTGCATCAAGTAACTCAGCACATAGTATGACAACACTCATGGGACACTGTGTCTCAAGAAACACGATCTCCTGAGGCATTTGTCACCCAGTTGTAAGGCTATCTGCCAGAGTGGAGACAGATAAATACAGTGGGGGGGTCACTGTTGCTTTTATGATGCTCAGTGAATGGCCGGGTACTTCACATAATCACCCAGGGACATAAATAACTCCCTTGTGTAAGGAATAGTAATAACAACCACTTAGCCACAGGCACTTGGCGGTTCCAAGAAGTACTACAATTAATTATGCTCAGTTATACAACCATGCAGATAACATAAATGGGTTACGTAGCCACATATGATTCCATGATGGAGTTTTTTTTCACTGTGATGTCACAAGTAGGTGAAGCCAAAAGTACCGTGATGTCATGATGCAGAGTTGTCTACTATGATGTCACAAGTAACAAATGATAGTCTATGATGTCACTAAAGAGAGTAGTCAATTGTTATGTCACAAGTCATGAGTAACAAAAAACAGTATGTGGTGCCATAAAATATTGTGATCTATTGTGATGTCATAAGTAGGAGAAGCCAACTGTACTGTGATGTCATAAGTAGCAAAAAACAGATTGGGATGTCATGAGATAGAATGGTCCACTGTGATGTCACAAGTAACAAAAGACAGTCTATGATGTCATGAAAGAGAATAGAATGTTATGGCACAAGTAACAAAAACAATCTATGATGTCATAAAATAATGTGGTCTATTGTGATGTCATAGGTAGGAGAAACCAACTGCACTGTGATGTCATGAGTAACAAAAAAACAATATGTGATATCATGAGGCAGAATGGTCCACTGTGATGTCACAAGTAACAAAAGACAGTCTATGATGTCATGAAAGAGAAGGGTCAATTGTTAGAAGTAAGAGAAGCCAACTGTTACAAAAAAAACAATCTCTAATATAATGAAGCAGATAGAGGAGAAGAAGCCAGTGTCACAGAGTTGGATGGTTTTCCAACACACATCAGTTCAAACACTGACGTCACAATCGTGTCACAGGTGTGTTTTTGATATAAAAAACTAATCTAAGTAGTAGTAGTAAAAGCCTGTGCCTTCCTGTATGACCTTCAAACAGCTCATCTCCTTCACTGACCCTTTTGTTCAGAGAGATGCGTTCAGCTGATTCGCGCATGGTCTCCTTCCTGGATATCTGCTCTGATCTCTCCATCTCCACGCCACTGGTGAACAAATCCCTGCGGGCCATGTATGCAGCAGTGTCCCTCACCCTTGCTTCCTCTGTATCCGAAAATCCTGTAGCAAACTCTTTACTGGGAGTCAGCAGAGCAGAGCCACGTGGACGGATGTGGGGAGTAAGGAATAGCATTAAAACTGAAATAACCTTAAGAGAACAGCATTTTTGGAGTTCCAGTTTTACATGGCGAGGAGTTAATTACCTGCCCCTGAAGATCGGCACTACATAACCGATGACTTGGTTCTCTTTATCCACAGCCAAGTAAGTTGGCTTGGCTCTCTTGGGTAGAGGGTTCAGTCTGCTGTCTTCCAACCCAGAGTATGAAGACACTCTAAGTCTGAGACATACAGAATACAATCAACCTGGCTCACAGCCAGACAGTGCAACTTATTACATAACATTAACATGTGGGGATAAAGCTAAGGTCACGGGTGGATGAGTAGCAGATTAGGGTTCAATGGGAAGGTCGTGTAGATGGTTTAGTTATGATTATAACATTTTTACACCTATATAATAATTCCATTTTCAAAATCAACTGAAAGCTGCTATAACTGAATCATTAAAAGACACAAACAACACTTTTGCTGCAGTCCAATCCAATGGTTCACATTGTGGATTCCAAATCCACTCATCTCAGAGTATAACTGAAACTGATATGATATCATAGAGCCCATAGGACTCACCTTACACTTTATAATTTTGCTACACTATTCGTAACAAGTCAAAGCCACATTGCATCAGTCCCTCTCATTGTACTACTGTCCCAAGATGAATGGAGAAAAGGGATAACCAGGCCAACCTTCTGTTTTCTCAAACAATATTATCACAGTATTTTGCATATAAATTTTTACATCTAATATGTCAGTTTTCCAGGCTGTCCACTGAAGAATATAGGTCAGACTTCAATTACTATGTTGTGTTTTGGAGGAAGGGGCAACACTATCTGTAGAACTGAAGAGTTGGGGGTGGGAGCTCGCAGTATGAGATAACAAGAACATGATAAGGAGGCAGGGGCAAGAAGGGTGACAGGGCAGCTGCCCTCATTCTTCCCGTATCTATCTGGGTCACTGTCCCTTTAGCTCTGACCATTTACATCCACTCAGCTTTCCAGGATCAGGGCTGCAACAATACAATATTTGGGGCTGCCCAAATCCCATCAGATATAACAAGTACAACAACTACATAAAGGCAGTTGTATCCTTGCAGTAACCACAATATCATGACCACCCTGACGGCTCATCATCATCACATCATAATCCTCCTTTCCTCACCACAGCTCCGACTTGGTGACTAATGCATTGCCCAGTCCAGTCATGAGTGTAAAGGCAAAGCCTGCAAAGATCGGATAGTGTTAGCAAAACCTAAGCCCGCTGACCTGTTCACACTCTCCAGGCCAGAGTATTTAAAGACTTGCCAGGCATGGTAAAAGATAGGATCACTGTAAACTGGGTGTTTTGCTTGTTACTGTGTTAAAAAAAACAAACTCTCAATACACTCCATCCTGTAAATGACAGGAAATCTTAACTGATTGATTGTACGGATCACCTTTCTAGTGACACAGAATCCACATCATCACAGATTTTAGAGAATCAGCTGCTTAAAACAACCAACTTTTTGCTTTTTGTTGCACTACTTGTTGTTTTTCAAACATTCCCTGTAAAACATGTTCTTCTTTCCCATAATGTATAACATACTGGCTCATTTTCAAGCTCATTATAGCATTTTAAGCAGGTAAACACTGGACAGCTGACCGGTGCCTTCAACAGGGACCGCACAAATCTTGGCAGCAAAACCAACAGCTAACAACAAGCAATCAAGTTTCTCAGACATAAAAATGTATGTATATGATCCGGTTTAAAAGAAAATAAACCTGTAATACGAGGGTTCAGTTCTTAAGTGGACAAGGATGAGAAACTGGCACCTCTTATTTTCTCTCCAACATGGTATGCACAGGTCAAGCTTCTATTTCAGTCTATGCCATATACCACAACTCAGCCATTACATAACAGTGCATTTCCTCACAGCTTATCTAACCAGGGTTTTTGCTCTGAACAGTTACAGTGTGTTACACATTACCATTTGGTTATAGAAGTATTAAAAGTAAGTTTGTCAGCATGCATATAAACACACAGGGCAGGGCATCTCTCAGCCTGCATGCAAAGAGCTTCATGCAGGATTCAGAGCTGTCTTCAATCAGGACTGTCATCATCAGGTGTGACTGAGGGTTGATCAAAGTGACAGTGAATTCGAAAGGGGGAGAGAGATGGTTACTTGTTGTCAATATAACAGCAGGGCGGGAAAGATGATCCCAAAGCTGTGACTGCGATGGAGGTGAACTTGATCAGTTGGGTTGGGTGATGGTGTTAAGGGGAGGGAGGGAGGGAGGGTGGGGGTGGGGAGGCAGCAGGGCTTTCCTGTGATAAAGACGTGGATTGACGGTGAACGCAGGGCATGACCCCTCCGTCCTCCTCCTCTTCCTCCTCCTCCTTACCCTGCGCTCCTGCTGGCGGCGGAGGCGCTGCTGCCAGCAACGTATCGGCTGCTGGACTGGTACTGGCTCATTTTAGACTCCGTCTGCTTGCTACGGTAGCCACGGTCGTAGTGGCGGTGGTGCTTCTGGTAGAACGGTATAGATCCAGACATGTTGCAGGCCGCTCCTGGTACAAGCCTCGAGTTTCCAAGTTTCTTGCTGCCTATTTGTTTGTCTGTCTGGTTAGTTAATGTTGAAGAGCAGGTGGATTTATCGTTATTAAAATATACTGTAGGCTTATCTTGATTTTCATTGAATTTTAGATGTTACATACTTTTTAAATTTTGTTTTTCTGGAATAAGCTGCAATAACAAGCTGGCCATGCTTTCATTTACTTCAACATGTTCTTTATAGATGAACATGGAGGGTTATTTTAGCTCTCAAGATGGAAAAAATCGAATATATTGTGGAGAAATAATGTATTTCCCATGATGTCAGTATAAGTATATTTTATCATTTCCAGCCAAAACTGCATAATAGTCCCTTCATCAAAAAAGAAAACAACAAGGAAAAGTCATGAAACCTGCAAATACAAACCTGCAACATCAGCTAGCAAGACATGATATGAGATTCAGGCAATCAGGCACGGTCTCAGCATGCTCAGACAGACATATGCAACAATTACAACCTGGCTTATCACATCTCATCCCTGCACAACAGTTGCCACTTACCCCACACAAAACCCCTCAAACTCAAAAGCTTTAAAGGAAAAGATGGTCCAACTCCACACTTCAAGCTTGATATCCCAGCAGACCTACAGGTAGGTGCACACAGGGCTGCGGTCTACACAACAAAAATAATATTGGCCCTTGCCAGAGTGTCCAAGCAGCAGTCACAGCCTTTTATGGTGAGGGTGGAGATAAATATAGCTGAGAGCAGAGCTGGGGGGCAAGTCGACTCCCGCAGAGCAACGCGGTTATGGGTGCGTGTCTCTGCCATTGAGCATTAATGCCTGATATGCAGGTAAACACAGGGTTACTTTTCACTGTTTGTATTATCATTCAATGTTATTCTTTTATCTTTTCATGTCATGTGTTTGGCTTTTTCATCCTTTTCTTATATGAAATCTATATAGTGTATTTATGAATGAGTGTGTCTATTTAGTTGCATGTTTATTATTTAAATTCAGAATTGATTCATGTATTCATTGATACTTGACTTACTTCTTTTATCTACTAAAGCCAAACAGAAAAGTCCACCATTTATGAATAAGACAAAGACTACATATTTCAAATCAGAATGCAAATCCATCCAAACCCTCATCAACCCTAGAGGCCTGATATGCTGATATTGATTTTATTCTATTTATACTGAATTCAGTATCTGTTATTTTCTCATTTCTTTTAAAGCCCGTGAAGACCATGCTGACTTATAGGCTGTGTTTTTGCCACAGCAGTCTCAGCTGTGACTGTTACTAACTTTAGCTATGCTATTGTTACTTGCTTCACATACAACAAATGCCAGGTATACTGTCTCTTGGTCACTCTCTCTTTCAGTCTCACTCATTTGTGGAAGTACACAAATGTCCCCTCTTGCCCCCCCCCCCCGTTCATAAACAGCTACTAAAAGAAAAACTTCACTGGCAGATGTTTTTCCACACTCTTGATGCAACAATGAAAAAGTGATGAAGAATGAATTGAACGTGAATCTAAAGCACTTACTTGTGTAAATAAAGTTTGTTAAAGGCCAGATGTTTGGACATTGTTCGGGAAACTTTCTGCAACACAAACACGTGGTAAGTTTCCATGGCAAAGTTACAGATATTTCTCTGAACACTTCTGACGCCTCCAACACAATGGTCAGCATGACAACATACCTAAAATGTTACAGCAAACTGAAGTTGAGGCCCATTTAAAGAGATCAACAGTGAGGGGAACTAAAACAAGACATCAAGCAGGGTCACAACACTACATGCTGTCTAATGAATACGGGATATGCTGTATTTTACTAGTGGAATATAATATGTCACAGCCCACTACATCATTTGCCAATATTGCCTCCTTTATTTTCATCATAACTGAGTATTTTGTAAATCCTTTATCTTTATATACTGTAAATAAAATCTGTGTCTTAGTACCCAGTCAGGCACATAAAGGTATGGTAACCTATAGGATTAGTGAATATGAGTGAATGTCAAAGAACAGTATACAGCCTTTCTATAGCTGTTATCACAAACATCCTGGGCTTTACACTGATCTGACTGTAAGCCCCAATTACCAAACAGCTGCCACTCACAACTCATACAGGAGAGTCTTTTCCCTGAAACCCTCCAGTTTATAAGTAAAACTCAAATGAATATCTTCCCATACAGTCACCTAATGAGTTCATCCCACGGAGTAGCCTATCTATGCCACATGAATCTATCTAAATATTTTTAGCAGTAGGGCTTTAACATTGTTGGCAGTGAATTTTATCGCTTCATAACTGGAATATTAACACATATAGCCTACCTATGATCCAATACAAACACTCTGCTACTGCAAAGCCTGTAATGTTCAGTTTCTTTGATGCTTGGACAGAAAGGTGTTGACTCAATTCTATGGCAAGGTGGAGTTGTATTATACTGCATTATTCAATCTATTCCCCACATACTGTACATACATGAGTGGTTTGGTTTCCTCCAAATTTCCCTAAGTGAATATGATGAATCTAGTTCATGTTAGCAGTATGTCTCTGAGTCCAGCTGTCCAGGAAATTCCAACTGTATGGAGGTCTCAAGGGATCTGTTGGAACTATTTCAAGTCCGGTTTTGTATCGTGGCCTCAGACTGAGACCATGTGAACATTTAACAGTTGTAGACATGAACAAACTCACAGGATTGGGTGACATGCTGAGAAAAATTAGGAATTTCCCTCAAGAATCTAAATAACACTGAGGAAATGAAAGGTTTCCTATGAAACTAGCACCATCTAGTGGTTTCATGCAACACTACAATTTCTAAGTCAACTAGATTTATGAATGCACAGAAGTAGAAAAGGTTAATGTTCCTGGCGTATGTATGTTTGTTTCAGTTTGTAAAACACGTAAAATGAAATGAACCTTCTTCTAGTGTCCGACAGTTAACAGTTCTCTTGAAACCATAGCACTCTAATTCCAATCAGGATGTGTTTTTGTCCTTCACTAATACAACATTATAGTATGAACTGAGTTTAGTTTGCTCCTTTGAGAGACCAGACAACCATTAATGAAATTTGTCATTATTTAAGTTATTTTTTCCCCAACAGTCTCCTATTGTATTCTTCAATAACAGCAGTTATGTTTTTGGACTATACAGCTCCGGACCTAATCTGTTTGGTTACAACATATAGCACAACTATAAATGACTCATGGCACATGTTCACCAATTTTGTTATCAACTTTGAAAGTGGGTATGACAGCTGGACAAAGAGACAGATGTGGCTTGTTTTAACCTGTGAGTCAACAGTTCCACACCATGCTTCTGAAGCCCTGCAGCAGTAAGCCCCTCTTTACAGCAATGACCGGATACCAACTGTTGTCTGACCCACACTGGGCAGTCAGTATCTATTATTACCCAACCTATCAAGATTTTTTCTCTTATTGTTTTAATTTCAGTGTATCAACTTCCTTTCATTTTTTTCTTTCACTCTTTTTTAGCAACATCAAGTCTCATTGAGGTTCAGATTCCTCTCTTTTCAAGTGAAACCTGGTCAAGAAAGAAGAACAAAACATTTTTACAGCAATGAATACCATACATACAACATAAACAGGCAAAGACAACTGTCACATGCTACTGAACAATGATATCTAATAATCTAATAAATACATTTACTCAAGTACAATTTTGAGGAGGATATTGTAACTCTTACTGTACCACATTTTTTCAATTACTTTAGATTCAGATTCTGAAAATTAATATAACATACAGTATATTTAACAAATAAATTCTAATGTATTATTATAGGTTAAGTTAAGTCTATTGATCCCCAGGGGGAAATTTGCAAACTACTCAGCAGTGTATAAAGTGGGCAGATCCATCCCCAAAGTACTGATAATACTGATGAAGTCTTGCTTTGAGTATAGAGAGGCTTTTATGAACATTATGTTATTCACCACTGAAAACTGTCTTGTGTTTAAACATGCATGTGATTAAATAATTATCAGAAAATGATCAAAATAATTAATAAAAATACATAAATAGATTTATCTCTCCTACATGATAGTACATTAGCTGTTTTCAACAATAAAAACTATTGAAATTGATAATTATACAGGTGATCCTGGTCCTAGTAATAGTCTAGCTTCTATCGGATTAAAACCAAATTCCTTGTACAGGTACCTGAATGATCAAAACAACCCCAAAGAAGTGGTAATAAATTACTAGCAAAGTACCACTGGCATAATTCATTACATAAAAAATGGGACAAAACTCAACAAAAATGGCAAAATATTTTTGCCTGATTGATGGTAACACCTATTTCCCCCATCATTTAAGCTTAACCTTGCCTTAATTGCACAATGCCAAGGAGGATGTGTTCTTTCTGTCCTTAAAAGGGCATATCCAGGAATGTCAAAGGGAGCGTTTGTGGAAGTTACATTTACTCCACCGGGGGGTGAAGCTGTGTTTTATTACCACTAATACTGAAATATTACGAAACATTACGATACCTTTTCAAGTATAGTGTAGTAAAGCGTAAAAAATTATAGGATTCAGACAGAAAAGATGTATGAATTGCTTTTTAAATGATTAATAATGGTTTCATACTTGTTGACCCCCCTATTTTCCTATATTGGTTTGTTCTGCTGTTCTGCATGGAACCCAACATTATTATGAGGAAGTGAAGGGCGGTGGTTGAGAAGAAGAGCAGCATCGGGCTAGCTGACAAGTCAGTTTGAAGTCAGGTAAGACTGTTTTACCTTTTATTGTTCTGTATACAACAGTTAGCTACGTTATAAATGCTCTGCTACCATGATAGAACACATGTACTGGCATTATTAAAGCTGTATATGTGAATAACATGTTATTGTGCCATTTTGAGTGTTCGGTTAATAGCATTGAAAACACGGCTAACTGTTAGCTGCGCAGCTAATACCTCGACAGCTGACGTAGTGATTCCAAATTAGCTGCAAATAAGCGGGTAGTTTATAGGCTTGTAAGGTTAACTATTAGCTTTATAAATCTAAATCTACATGTAAACCTGTTTGCAGAGGGCTACCTTTCACAGATTTATTAACACTAATTACTTAATGTGGCTCAAACTAGGCCGCGAACCATCAGGACGATGTACGTACTTAATGTCGAGCCAACGTTAGGTGTTGTGGTAAGATTCTTTACTAAGACAAACTAATATGTGGGGGAATTGGTTTTGTAAGAAGATAACTGTTGGTGTGCACGGTAAAGTGCACAACATAGTCAAAAGCATACGTTATAATCAAGTCAACAACTATCGAATATTTTTATTGTAGATTAATTTGCCGTTTATGTTTTAGAGTAAACGATTAATCGTGTATAAAACGTCAAAATAGTGAAAAGTGCCTGTTTTCAAAATGTTTTGTTTTTGTCTAACCAATAGTCCCAAACCCAAGGACATGCAGTCAGTTATCATGTATGACTAAAACTCAAACATCTATCAATATTACTGTCTGTACTCTCAAACAGAGACTTTACCATTTTGAGTTAAACCTATTGCAATATAAGATTTTTACTAGGATCAGCACAATGTGCAGCTCTGAACTAATGGAGGTGTTAAAGTAACAGACATCTCAGATACGATTTTCAAGTAAAAGAACAATCATTTGCTGTTGTCAGCATCTCATTTGTGAGAATCGGCTCCTTTTCATTGCAAATTGCATATTTTTGGATTTTACACTATTGATCAAACAAAAGAAGCAATTCAAAGATGTCGCCTTGGGCTTTGTGATGGGCAGTTTATATACTAAACGGTTAGTCATTGAAATTTGCATCTCAGTTGATAGTCAAAACAATGTTAGGTGCAGACCTAACTCAGAACATGCAATATTGATCCTTCATACTTCAACAATTACCAATGTCCCAGATCATATTTAGTCAGGTCACCATATTGACAGTGCATCAATGCAAGGCCCAGCTCTAGATTTGTCCTTGCTGTCCAAGCTGATTGAGTCAATTTTCCATAAGTACCATGTGGCTAAAACATGGGTGTCGGTCAACACAAAATTGTGGCTGTAGGACCGTTCAAGTCTACATTCAAGACATTGCCTGATAAGGGCATCTGTCCTCACATCAGTAACTTTCCTACCCTCTGTGAAGGCAGTGAGCTGATCAACCTAGAAAGATGAGGAACATTCCCATTTATAGCTCAGTGAGGGACACCACACTGGGGATTCACTGCCAGAGAATTAAATTACTCCGCCACTGAGTTGTGGGCATGAATGACGAAATCTTATTTTGAGTAACAGCATGATTCACTATACCTTTGATCAGATTGTCTCCCTGTATGCCGTGGGTATTCTCAACGTCTGTCTCATCAGGCCAGGCTTACATTTTGTATTTTTCTTCTGCACTGTCATCTTAATGTCACTTAGGCATATGTTTGCTGTACTTAAAATAGGGCTGCAACTAAAAGTTGTTTTCATTATTGACAAATTTGGCATTTCTTTATTAATTAATTAATTCATTCATTAATTAATTAATTATCACAATGTATTAGTAAGTACCTGGTTGTCACAATACTTGACTGTAAATAATCTGAGGTTTGTATTTTTTGTCTTTTAAATTTCACAGGAATAAAACAGTCAAAATGTCTAGCAAAAGGGCTAAGGGAAAGACCACAAAGAAGCGCCCTCAGCGCGCCACCTCCAATGTCTTCGCCATGTTTGATCAGTCTCAGATTCAGGAGTTCAAGGAGGCCTTCAACATGATTGACCAGAACCGTGATGGGTTTGTCGACAAAGAGGACCTTCATGATATGCTGGCTTCACTAGGTGAGTGGGCGAGTCTCTGAGACAAGTAACTTCACAAACATGTCGGTATGAAGCTGTAAGCAGCTCTGCACTTTGCTCATTTGGGTGTACACCTGCAGTGTTTGCAGTTCGAAAACTAGCTCTCTAAGCAAACACATTTGAATTTTAATCATCTGTTTATGTCACATGTACTTAAAACCACCTCTGCGGTTGTTAATCCTAAAACTTAATTTTAAGTGCACTATACTTGTTTCTTTATACAGGTAAAAATCCAACTGAAGATTACCTGGAGGCAATGATGAATGAAGCTCCTGGACCCATTAACTTCACCATGTTCCTCACCATGTTTGGAGAGAAGCTCAATGGCACAGACCCTGAGGATGTGATCAGAAATGCATTTGCTTGCTTCGATGAGGAGGGGACAGGTAAGTTCTGACAGCTGTCATTTCTTTCCTGTTGATAGACAAAAAAAATAATAATTTTGCTTTTTGTTAAGCCATTTAATGTTATAATTCACCCTTATACGAAGCACTTCAATTGCAGTTGTATTCAAAAAGTGTATACAGACAAACTTGCCTTGACTTGCCTAAAACAATCCAGTTGCAGAAAGACAAAAGGTCTTTAAAAGACAGTAATTGAATCATTTAGGTAAAAGAAAATTCTTCAGGAGAAGTCTGTTTATTCAGGCTGTCTTTTTCTCTGACTTCTTATCTGATATGACTGTCTTCCTCCCCAGGCTTCATCCAGGAAGATTACCTCAGAGAGCTGCTCACAACAATGGGTGACCGGTTTACAGACGAAGAGGTGGATGAGCTCTTCAGGGAGGCCCCCATTGACAAGAAAAGCAACTTCAACTACGTGGAGTTCACACGCATCCTAAAGCATGGTGCCAAGGATAAGGACGATTAAAGAGCCACACCAGCATATTCCTCTTCTCACTCTTCGCCTCTTTGTCAGCTAGCTCACGTGCTGCATGTGTCAACTCTCCAGTATAAAACCCATTTTAAACAAACCAAAGCAATAACTATCCACTCTGTTTATTGTGAACTTCCAGTATTGCCAAATCTAAACATCTCGAATGAGAGGACAAAATTCTAGTCGGTCATGAAATGTTTTTTTTTCTCTTGTGAAGATGTGAAGTGGCAGCATATTGGAAGCTCTAAGGGATAAATCTTTGCAATTCATGTGATCGGGTATAGCTGAATTTTTACCATTTTATAATATAAACTTTTTAAATAAAGCCCTCTATCAAGTTGTATTTTGCTGATTTTTTTTTTTCCCCCCCCTTCCATAAATGACAACTGAAATAAGTTTTGCATTAATCTGTCTTTATTTTTCCTGGGACTAACCAATTGAAAAGCTTGTGCACTATTATCTCCTCTTCAGATGCTTGTCAAGTCTCGACAAGTCTGCTCTCCCTCCTCATTAAATTCATTGAGCATGTGCAGACTAGCATCAGCTGAATTCTTTCTGTAAAAGAGCAAGTTAACATGACCACAGCCTACACTGAAATCTGGGGTGTATTGCTGTGGCACAGTGAAATTGAACCCCTTAAAGGGAAAGGGAAACCTACTACAATCACCGGTATGTGGTGGTGACTTATGTCATACAGGGAGTGGCCTAATGTAATAAAAATCCTTATCAAACAAAGGGTTTGGACACTGAGTCACCAGACAAGCATGATAAAGCTCATCCCAGCTGATGACTGCATCAAGTTATAGTTGATTCAGCAGCTGTGCCTGAGCTCAGAAGTTACACTGCCCAGTGTTCAAAGCCCAGTGAAAATGTGGACAGTCACTGGGTACAGCAGTCAAATTGTGGTCAAAATTACTTGGATAAGACAAACAATTAACTTTATATCCCCCATTAACATTAAATATCTATTTGCTCCAGGGTTTGTATTTATTTTATTTCACTTCAAAAAGAAAAAATATGCAATTTACGCAGACTTTGGCAAACAACTGAATGCAAACTACTATATGGGTACTTCAACTGTTACAAGGATATGTTTTAATATTTACTGATTTTTGGTAGAGAGTGACAGTCAAAAGGTTTATATTGATGGTAAACAATTAATTTAGGTCTACAGATGATTTATTAAATTGACAAATGTTAACAATCCCACCAGACCTTTGAAAAGTAGTGTGGAATTGAAGTATGCAGTTGTTATATGGATTATATCGCCCTCTAGTGTGTCAATAGAAGATTAAAATTGGCATGGTGCTGCATTCATGTGCTATTGGAAAATGTGAATTGCATGAGCAGGTCCACAAAAGTCAAGAGGTTATTGGAGTGACTTGGTTAAATTATGTACTGATCGAATAAAATTCGGGCAGTCCAAGTTGAGAAGATCGTAGTAGCAGTTAAGCCTGCAGTAAAATAATGTTTTTTACAGTAAAAGATAATAAGAAGCAAACAAAGCTCTACCTGTAGTGCACCTTAACCATTTATGCGTCTCTGGAGGCATTATTTCTGTTATATAGTCACTCTTGCTGTTAATTTCGACTAAAAACATGTAACACCAGGTTTGAGTCACGGCACTTCCGAGACTACTACCGGAGTACACATTTACGAGGTGCCCTGAACGCCTCACGTTCCTTACGATACCACGTTGGGACTGCCTATTCTGTGCCGGCGGTCTCTGTGAGTCTGTGACCCTTTGCCGCTGCTGGAAAGGTCCAGGTATGAATTTTGCCAGTTCCACGTTGTCATTTGTAATTTATTTACCACTCTGAGCTTAAGTGTCAACCTAAAGAAACGTTAATAACCGGAATAGAAGTGTGATTCCTGTGGTATAGCGAAGAAGCTATAGCTAAGTAGCTAACGTTAGCTAACAGCTCCCTTCAAGGTTGGTTAGTTAACGGCGGAGTAACGAAGGGGGAGGAGACTGAGCAGTGATATTGCTAGTAGTTTTGTTGTAGGACTAATTTATCGACATCGTGTCCTCTGACAAGGCTTCGTAAAGCTTTTCTTGTTTTTAAAGTTTTCTTTTTCGCTGTTTGTGAATCAGCTGGGTCTGAGGAATCCTGGACCGGGGTCATGGCTCTAAAGCTTATCCAGAGGTTTCCGCGGCTCGGGCAGTTCGGGATTCAACGTCATCCTCCTGTTGCATCTGCCAGCCCTCTGAGAACCAGCAGTGCAGGTCAGCCCGTATGTGTAGCCTGTCTGTGCACCTCAGCCGGCCGGTGCATCAGAAGACAGGGCTGTAGGACGCTCCAGCCGGACTGTGGGATAAGGAGCCTGACCACGATCGCCAGGGAGCCGGCCTTTGTCGCCAGCAGCTCTGTGGGACTCCACAGAGATTCAGTTCCCCGGTTCTCGCTGACCCAGCTGCATCGACCCACAGCTGCAGAGGAGCAGGATTTCCAGCAGCGTCTAGGCAGCTGCTCCTCATACCGGCAGGTCTTCAAACTGCTGCGCTCAGTGGAGATTCTATCTGACACCATGGCTGCAGCAGCACTTCACCGTGTGGCCGACCTGGAGCAGGAGGGAACCTCTCTGAAGGACCCCACAGTGCTGGAGAAGGACACCATCAGGGCCCTGTGCTTCCAGCTGGAGCAGGACTCGGGCCGGCTGACGGATGCTGGGCTGGTATCAGCTCTCCTGGCCTGCACACGCCTCTTTTTGGATCCCTGGAGCACTCTGATGGTGCGGCTGGTGTCTGAGAGCCAGGACAGACTAGACAGGGGGGAGATGACTGTGGGGCAGCTGTGTACCTTAGGACAGGCGATGATAGCCATTGAGGGTCCTGGCTGTGTGATGCTGGAGCAGGTGATGGCGAACATCCAGAAGCAGGCGCCTGCCCAGTGGAGCCTATCAGATCTCGTTGCTGTATATAGGCTTCTGCAAGGTTGCATTGGTGAAGATGGAAAATACAGAGACTTGCTGAATGCCATGCACACCCACGCTGTGAAAGTGACCTCTCGTATGGATCCTGCTGCTGTCAGCGTGCTGCTCAGTACTCTTGTGATCCTGAACCAGACCCAGGCCATGCCTTTAGTGATCAGTCTGTGTAAGCAGGCTGTGCAGCATGTACCTCACTTCACTGATGAGGAGCTCGCCCTTGTGGTTGGGGCTCTGATCCACTTTGGCCACAGTGATCATTACTTTGTGCAGGCTATGGAGAAGTACGTCCCTACAATGGCATTCACCTCCCATCCAGAGACGGTTACCAAGGTGATGCAGTTCTTTGGCCGGAGGAACATCCTGTCACCAACTGTGTTTAACGCTGTTGCTGAAAGCTTTGTGTACCGAGCGGACGACTACAACACCAGCCAGGTTGCCAGGCAGATCATGGCTTTCGGGAAGCTGGGATACCTCCCGCCTAACGCAGGCAACATGTTCAGGAAAGTTGAAATCATCCTGCACACACGCTTTTCACACTTCCAGCCTCGAACGCTGCTCAACCTGCTCCACGCCTGCATCCTGGTGGAGAGGTTCCCTGTCAATTTTGTCTCCAAAGTCTTCAGCAGATACTTCCTCCAGCAGCTGCAAGGTAAAATACCCCGCCAGACACCTGCAATAATTATGCATGTGCCATGAGTGCATAATTAAAGATAAAATCATTGTCTCGTTTTACATTTTTGTGTTTATTCTTGTCCTGCAGAGCAAGGCACAGGAATGGATCGGCTCATCCTGTCACAGCTGACCCAGCTCTACATGACTGTGAAGTTGGAGTGTCCTTTCTATGAGGTAGAGGATTTAAAACTTTGTCATGGGTTACATACGTTTAAGATGAGAATGGCAAAGGAATAATTGGTAGTCAGAAACATGAATACACACCCTGTGCCTTCACACGCCCTCAGTATGTGAGGTTCAGTGCATTCCAGTTATCTGTGATAAAACCTGCACCTGTTACCTTAGTGTATGAAAAATGTACTTACAAACATGTAAACAGAGGTGAAAAAAGATAAATGTTTCTTTATTGGGTTTAAGGTTATATTATTCTCAAGTGTGAATGTATTCATGTGTCTTAATGTGCCATGTTTTTGTGGTTTTTTTTTTTTTTTGGTTTTTGTAATCAGGGCCCCAAGCTGCATTCAAAGTACCGCGTCAAGTCTTTCCTCATGTCCGGACGCTCCCTGGAGACGCCGGTGGACACACATCTGTACCACTCTGTGAAAAATGGACTGATTGGTTTGCTCGGGGCTCGTTCCTACTTTGGATCCAAAGTTCTGACGCCATACTGCTACACACTCGGTAACACACAACACAGCAGCTGTTTATCTCCTAAGTGTTTCCTATAGTTTGCCACAAACGGCTGAAAATGTATTCTGCTCTTGTAGATGTGGAGCTAAAACTTGATGAAGAGGGATATGTGCTGCCTGCCAGTCACAATGGTGATGTGTACAAAAGGTAAATGATTTCATGTTTTATATTGTTTAAGGTTGACAGCTCAAGATTGTTGATATATTAGATATGAAATCCATCTGAAGTTGATCTTTTGAGAGCTGAAGCTGATGTGTGATTGCAGGATTGCTCTTTGTATTGATGGACAAAAGAGGTTCACTACAAACAAGAGACAGCTGCTTGGAAAAGAGGCCATCAAGCAGCGACACCTGAGGCTTCTGGGATATGAAGTGGTTCAGGTGAGACCCTCACATTCACTTTTCTGCTCCAGAATCTTTGTTTGTGTGTTCTCTGGGCACTTTTCTGCCAGATTTCAATCTACATCTGCTATTAGCACCGAAGTGGCACATAACATACAAGTATTAATGATGTTTTTCTTCTTTTTCTTTTCTAGATTCCTTACTATGAATTTGAAAAACTGAAAAACATGACCAGCGTGGTGGAGTACCTGCACCAAAAAATCTTCCCTCACACTTACAGGCTGAACTGGTGATGATAAAAACAATGTGATATCAGGGGTCTTTTTTCTCACTTAAAGAAATCATTATTTATTTTTGCTAATTACTCGTTATCAAACGAATGTGTTTTAAGTTATTGATTATGCACCTCCACATTATATAACTTTACAATAAAGTGAATTTTATATGAATGATGACTTTTGAATGACTTCAGTGTATCACACCAAGTGAAGTATTGTTTGAAAAATATAATTTATTTTGTTCTTAGCAACACAATGCTGCAGAAACTGTACAAAGTTAAGAGAATCCCAATTCCATCAATCACCTCAGATACATATGAAACAAGCTCACCTTTATAGAATAATCACAAGATTTAATTAAGGAACCTGATTTAACGTTATAATTTCCATCATTCGTTGGACAGAAAATGCTTTGGTTTTCAATGCTGCCCTCTAAGGCTGGGAGTGTCATTTGGGTAAATACAAAAAAGGCTATGATACATGTAAAACTAGTAACTACTAATACAAGTATTCTGATTGCTTCTTTATGTAGCAGGAATTTGAGGAAGGCCAAATTCGTCCACCAGAACACCATCCTGGAAAAAAAAGGATTTCCCATTAATCAAACCAAGGTGTCGTAAAAAACTAATGATGAAATTCATATAAAACTGAAAAAAACTGTGACGTACCCTGTTGGTTGACTTGTCACCGGGCAGACCCTCTGGGATGGAAGGAGCTGTTGCGGCGTCGTCCAGGTACGAGCTGTCCTCATCCAGCAGGAGCTCGTCTCCCAAAGCATCCAGCTCTGTGGACACAACAGTTTAAGCTATCATCAGGTTATATCTATCACTAATGGCTGCACTGTCAGGGTCTTGGTTGATAATGCATTTAATGAGTCTACTTTTATTAGTTAGGTGCTAATAGTTTCTTGACTTTGCCTCTGGCATTCATTTGTTTTAATTAAATCTGTAAATCGATTAGTCACAGCTATTATACAACTTTAGTAGAGGACAGCAGCTTCCATCACCTCCTCAAAAACTGCACTAAATATTCACTGTGATGTGTTACAAAGCTAAATGTGTTCACAGCACCTCTGCAGCTTTGGACTCAGTAAGATTGTCATGACATCACAGAAAAAAAAGAAACGTGATGTTTTCCTGACCTGCTTCCAAGTCGTCTTCATCAATGTCAGGCGTGCCGTAGCTCCTGCCCAGCGCCTCCTGGATGTCATTGGCGTCCTCCATCATGTCCTCCAGCTGATCTTGAATGTCCTGAATATTACAGACAGTAAAGGGTTAAAATGTTTCTCTTTCTGTCATCTGCTCTGAAGACAGTCCACAAAGACTTTCATTGTGCTGAAAGCTGAACAAATTAAGGTCCAACGCACAGCCCCAAGCTCACAACGGAAACACGTTATTATCTGTTTCAGTAACTTAATGGCTAATAAAATGTTCTGGTTGTGAGCTTCAGAAAATGTGTGGTACCTTTTGTTGTGGGAATGTTTTCTGTCCCCCAACATTTTAATTAAACAGTGTGATATAACAGCCTCATTAGGAAACAAATAGGAGTTCACCATCTTTGAATATATTCACAATTATTAACTGAAACAATATCATTTCCTGACTAAAAAAATGTACATGTATTTGTCATAACCAACTTTAGGTTTGGCCACTATATGGTCTCCTTATTACTAAGAATTACATCCTGCTGAAGTAAACCTATGGTCAAAAAACAAATACCTCAATTTGATCAATTTTCACGTTCTTGTACGCTTTCTTCATGTCCTTGAGGCCGACTTTCATGGCATCAACCTGAGAAGAAAATAAAATTGTTAGCAGAAAAACACTTTTTTTCCCCCAGTAGTACTTAGTTTCCTGGATGTAAAAATCATCATGCTTGTTACCGTGGTTTTAGTGTCTTTCAGGGACTGGATTGTGTAGTTAGTTTGTTCCATGTTAAACGACTGCTGCATGAGGTTATCTCTCTGGCCCTCATACCTGTAGAACATAGAGAACATAAAGTTACGCTCTTATAATAGATGAATGAGGGAATATAACTGGATTTAGTAATAAAACTATTTAACATTTAAATTTATTTTACATGGTTAATAATAAAAACACTTAGGTTTATGTAAGTACTTACATTTTCTTCTGCTTCAGAACTCTCATAGCCTTTTGCTTGACCATGTTCTAGTAAAAGAAAAATGAATGAAAATACTTAACAAGTAATATAAATAGACAGTACAACACAAACAATAAACATGATATGGATACGTAATATCATAAGTATATGATGAGTAGGTTTGGGTAATGAATCTCAATACTTTTTTCTTCCTATATTTTATGTGTAGGACAGACTACCAAAGACTGTCTGAGTCGTAGTTTTGTTTAATTATTCTTTGATGAGATAGTTCCTTGTTTAAATCCAATTTTTCCCAATTTTAGATTAAATTCTGTTTGGGCATTTACCATGTTTGACGTCTTTTGTTAAATGAAAAACTGTTTTGTTTACCTTTCTTGCCGTCAGGAACTGAAATAAGTCAAATTTTAGGGAACCATATCTAATGATACTGAAGTGTATCATAATACTATAAAAATGAGAAGATCTGTATTCACTTCTCTGTCTTCCTCAGCATGTGTGTGTTATGTTGAAAACAAAAATGTAAGAAGAAAGTTTGTGAATGATGAGATTTTATTTATATCTGAACTGAATGGACTTTTGGTTCTGGCTGGTAGCACCCCAAGGTTTTTGTTTTACAGCACCACTGGACATTAAATCTCACCTTCGAAGGCCCATCTCTCATCTTTTTCATCTGATCCTTGTACTTGACAAGTTCAGCATCTAGTCTGGCAATCTTCTTGTCAATGGACTCCGCCCGGGAATCAACCTTAAAGTGGAGAACAGAGAACAGGGCATCAGCTTTTGTGAGACTGATTATTAACAATATGATCATTTAAAACAACTCATGATAACTTTACTCGTTTTGTGGCCCGCTCCTTTACACACAGTAGCTCAATTGAGGATAATTGATTACCAGTAAATACTATACATCATCTGCTTCACGTCAACTCCAGTCTGCTAATAATAGCTCGTCTGACAAATAACCTGTATAACTGGTTGTTGTCAGCCATTTCACTGAGAGGATAACATGGTTTCTGCTGTATGTCTGTCAAATGGCTCAAATTCCTGCTCAAAATTAAATAACGCTGATTCATCACCTGAACACAAACAGATTGTTTTAGTCAAATACGTTGATTATCGACTTATATTATCATTACACGTGTGAAGTAAAAACACCTATTTTTATAATCCTGTCTGCGATTAGTAATGTAACAAATTATTGATCTATGAGCTGCTAAACTCTGGTGACTGTGACAAACACCAGTTAAATATGGCAAACCATGGCCTCGTTTCTGCTAATAAACAGAGTTAGCTGACCCAGTCGAGAAGGGGTCCATCTTTGTTTACCTCGCTCAAGACAGCGTTAAAAAACTTGTATAAACTTTATACTTACGTTTCCTATGCAGTCCGTAAGGTTCGGCGCTGGGCCCTTTGGTTTTCCTCTGCCAAATATACGGTTCATTTTGGCGAAATTAAGGCTTCAAATGTACAAGAAAGCTGCGTTAGCTCGCCGTCACCGTCCAGCTGAGGGAAAACACCCGGAAGTGACTTTCAGGAGACGTCAGAGGGGTCACATGATCATTACTCACTCAGCCGCGCCCTCCACAGTACTCTGTGCAATGTTTTAATATTTAATCGGACTTTTTAAGTGTTTATCTGCTTCGAGTTCAAATATTTTTTGTGTTTGTATTTCCATTAACCTCCTCATTTATTTTGTTTGTATTAAAGCCCCTTACCTTGAAAAATATTAATAATGAGCCGACTCTTTATTATTAATTTAGTTGTTTTGTTGTTTGTTACCTTAGACTAATAAATTAAAACAGACTCAAAATGCTAATCAAAGTGACCGGAAAGGTGACTGGGGTGCAGCAAGCCCAGCTTTAAGCTTACAATGAAAAATCAACAATAATAAAAGCATATGGGGAAACTAGACAATGAAAAACATTTCAACAACTGCACCAGGAAAAAAAAAGTAAAAGTACTAAATTGGCAACACACAATGAGCACGTTAGGCTGGCGTATCCTTTTCACTATATTGATTACACTTTTGATTATTTTTCAGCTGACTGGAGACAGGGGCCACAGACTGCAGGGGACAACCTTGGCTTTAAATTGTGGCAATATTTTGACATAATTCAACTTCATACGACCCGCTGGCCCGTTAATGGACCGATCAGAAAGTTCTGAACATGTTCTGACAAAGTAAACTAAACGTTTGTCAATAAACACAGGCTGTACATCGTTAGATCGGTAAGAGTCTCAAGAATTCAAATATTCCGTTCATTTTGCGCTAACCGTAAGCACATAAATATGATTTATTACTATCTACCAGCATTCAGGACAGAAGTTGGTGACTACTTACCCTTTAGAAGTGTAGAAAAACGATTCTCTCTCCATTCGTCCATCATTTGTATTCCTTTAGTCCGTAAGTGTCCACAGATCACAAAACATCAAAAGGGTTCCTTATAAAAGTATTCCAGGTTATGAATATCTTCAAGAGACGTCTAAAGCAGACCACCCAGCAATCTGTATCTGCTAATCTTCCCTCACTTCTCTCTCTCTCTCTGTGCACCTGTGGCTGTGTTAGCTGGTCTGCTGCTGTTTGTTAGCTTTGAGGCTACAAAATGGAGGCCTCCCGGTAATTGATTGGAGCAGATTTCACTTCAGCAACTAGATGATGAGCGAAAACGAGCATAAGACTTAATGACGGCTTTTTCAGTGTTCTTGTATAAAGTACATCCTTTTATGTAATATTACTTTTTTACAGACGAGGACTGAAAAATACTAAAAAAAAAACAAAAAAAAAAAAAACACCATGAGCTGATGTAGTTCAGGTTGGGTTGTAGTCATTTGCAAAAACAAGCACATTTTCAGAAACTACAATATGTTAAATATGTTATATTTCAAATGAGGACTTATGCATTTTGGAAAAAATAACAAATGTTGGAGAAATATAAAATGAAATTAAACTGGTATTAATAGACACAATTAAAGCAATAACATGGTCATATTATAATTTAGGAGCCTTTGGCTGTGGGTATTAAATGTAATTGGGTAATTGATCAGATGATGAGAGAGAGAAAAAGTTTTATTTTTGCAGGAGACATAATGTGGAAAATGCTGAAGCTATTGACTGAATTTCACCATGAAAAAAATCTATATTTAGGACCTTCATTATTTCAGCAGATGTTGTATTTAAATTTTTGCAAATAGCTACATTTCTTTGTGTTAATCAATTACCACACAACAAACATGGAGACAGGAATAATGTGCATAGAGAGGGCGTCTGATAACTGCAGTTCATTTTTAATTCTGGTGGGCCCCCCAGGCAGATTAATCCATGCTCTCCAAATTCATGACAATATGAGGTGGAGAAAAGCAGCATATCCCTTCCATTTGAAGACCAGCTTTAATATTATATATGCCTTATGTCAATCATTTAAGTACTAATATAGATGCTTGTAGTGAAGCTTCTGCATATGCCAAGTTATGTGCATGCAACTATCAATCACTGCAGGATTTTCTTTTTTCTTTAACCAGACCACATATATTTGATCTAGTAATGCCATTTTCTGTCCTCTGGAGGGAGCTGCTGTCAAACAGGAAAAGACTAAATCTGAGCCGGCAGAAGACTCCAGGCCTCCTGCCAGAACTCATCTCCAAAAATTATCATAAAACAATAAACTTCTCTTCTTGCGTCCAACTGCGCTTCAAATAAGCCACTGTGAGCTGCCGAGTTTTCTTTTAAAAATGAGACATCCAGAGGTAATGACGCAGAGCAAAGACAAATTGACAACAACATGAGCTTGTCACTGTAAGAGAAGAGAATCGATGAGGATTTGTTAAACTGGCTTTAATATTAAGCACTTGACAGACAGGATGTTTTGATCAATACATCTCCTGCTCAGTTCACAGCAGACAAAGCCAATATACAGTAGCAGGTTTAACCAGTCAACGCAGAGACTGAAAATAATGATAATAAAGATAATAATGACGTCCTGGTCACAGTGAAGTTTCTTAGAGTAATGTCTTTTATTTTTTGTCAAGTAACAGAACCTCTGTGCTATATCTATTTTTATGCCAGTACACATGTTGTTACTAGAGATTTATTAACAGTTAAAAAAAAAAGGTTCATCTCAAACCCACAATGCTCTGGTTTAGCGACACAACAGTGAAACTGAAAGTGTTTATGGAAATGGGTTTCCTAAATATAAGCTGAAGTTCTTCTCTAATGAGACAGATGAGTTTATACCATGATTAATCATTATGTTCATATAATACAGAGTCTATTTTCGGTACATTCAAAATAACAGCACAGTCCATCGAGCATATAGGGTGCTGATGTTGCATTTACTATCATAGCAATGATCACGGACATGCTACAAATACAGTATGTTTCAACGATGTCTGTGCAAAGATTTTCTTTTTTGTAATCTATACAAAATAAGGTATTGTATATATACGATCATACTGTACATTTGAGAGAATGTACTGTAATTAACCATGTGCACAACTTCTTAAGACAGCTATTCATGGTTTCAGATAGAATATTTCTCTACAATAATAGCATGAGTATTTCACATAGGACTATGTGTATCATGGTAAAAGCCGTACACAGCACATGTGATTGAATTATATACCATAAATTTAACAACTTATCGATCTGGACACAACTCCAGATTCAAAGCTGATAGAGAGCCCTCTGTCAAATTTTAAATGCACATTGCACATCCAGGATTTACCCTTTAACTTTCCTCATTGATAAACTTGCTTTGATGCAACTGAGCGTTGCTTTTTTCCTTTCAGTCATTTCAAAGTCAAACATGAGTCAGTCCATCAGCACAATCCAAACTCTTCACAGAGGTGAAAAGGTTTTTGGCACACATCTGCTGTCAGTGATTCGTACAACTACCACTGAGATGTATAAAAAACAAACAAAAAAAAACAAAAAAAAACATTTTATATATGAAGCGCTGTTTGACCCCTTTCAGTTAATCATTTTCTGCTGCTACAAACGTGTTATCCTGGACTGTTAAAGGCACATTTGGCAATAGATAAATTGTAGGAGGAAATGATGGGGAAAGGAGAAACTGCAGCTAAAAGGAAACACATCATAAACACACAGAAGCAAGAAGTTGCAAAACTTGACCCATCAATGTCACTATTTCCATTAACACCTTGCTAATTTTGCCATCAAATAATAAGCAATCCTCCTGAAAAATGGCCTCATTTTCTGATGATGTCTGATGCAATATGTTTGTGATGTTTTTTAGCGATATCTTTAATACCTAGGGCCGCAAGTAAAAGTTATTTTTGTTATCATCGATTAATCTGCTGATTATTTTCTTTGATTCATTGTTTTCTCATTTTACAATTTCCCACAGTCCACAATAACATCTTCAGATGTCCTTGTTTTTGTCTGAGCAACAGTCCAAGACCCAAAGATATTCAGTTTACGATCAGGTATGATTTAGAAAAGTATCAAATCCACACATTTGAGGAGTTGGAACCACGAAATGTTTGGCATTTCTGCTTAAAAAAATAGACCTAAATGATTTTTGATTATCAAAATAGTTTTATATTAATTTATTGTCCATTGACTGATCAATTAATCAACTTATCGATGCAGCGTTATACTTAATGAGCAGCATTAACCCTTTCTTATAGGATTAATGTGAAAATAGATAATGTTAAAGAAGAGTCTTAGTCACATTTGTTTTTTCTTTTCCTGCTTCCACAAAACGGTCACATCCACCTTCAAGTTGAAATAATAAATATACAATCTTTATCACAACTGCCATGAGGAAATTCATTGATCAAAGAGGCAAAAGTCAAAGCAGAGGGGAGGAGGAGGAAGTTGTTGTTATGCAGAGGAGATTGATGTTTTTGATTCTGTGTGGATTTATGGAAAAGATGGAATACAATTCATGATTTGACCTCTGAAGTGAAATCATATCTTCGTTGGCACTGCTTAAACATCAAGAGACAGGAAAATAAATCCTGTCAACCTTTGCCATAGAGTCAAGATTACAGTCTACATTGCTGTTGTGACGTGGGTTAAGCACAGGTCATGAGAGTCTTCTTTTCCAATGTGGGAAATTGAAGAGAGTTCCACTGCTAGTCATGTCGGTTTACTCGTCCCGTCTGGGTTCTCCAGGGGAACAGCCGCCTCTCGCACGTTGCTGGGGGTCTTTTTGCTCCCTGACACCTTCTCTCCTCTCAGTTTGGCCGAGAGGCAGAAATCCTTGAAGCACCTTTTGAAATTCTCATCCAGAAAGGCATAGAGCACAGGGTTGAGGCTGCTGTTGGTGTAGCCCAGAGCCACGCAGAAGAAATAGGCGGCCATGATGGCGGTGGTTTCCGGCACGCTCACGAGGGCCTTGACCAGGATGAAGATGTGAATGGGCGTCCAGCACACCACGAACACGGCCACCACAACCACCACGAGTCTGGTGATGCGGCGCAGGTTGCGATCCTTCTCCCGCGAGCCGGACAACATTCGGACGCTCTTCAGCCTCAGGACCATCAGGGAGTAGCACACGGTGATGATGAGCACAGGCACGACGAAGGCGAAGACAAACACGCATACTTTCATCAGTGTGTCCCAGTACACGTATGGCTCGGGGAACTGTAAGGCACACTCAGTTATGCCTGTACGAGGAGAAAGAGAGAGGGAGGGAGGATGAAAATGTAAACTAAGTGATGAAGTGCTTGTGCTTTATCATAAATAAAATTCCTCTCTGTTCCTTTCTGTTATCAATTTAGCAAGCTGTTACGGAGCAGCTAATCTGCACTCCGAAGGGAACATTTTGCTCTCAACTCTACTTTTTTCTTACATCATCTATATTCAGGAGGGGTTGATGCATGATGTGTGGCTAATGGAAAAACTGATGGATGGACTTGATAGAATACATTTCTGCTTTTAAAATACTATCAGTGCACGCTCGAAGTGGATCTCTGATGCCTAAAAAATTGACAGAAACCTTTAAAATTTATTGGGAGATGGTGAAAGCACTTCCTCACCGCTGTTTGTCTGGGTGCCACCCAGAATAAAAGCAGGTATCCCTGCAGCTGAGGACAAGATCCAGATGCACACATTGATCATCTTGGCTTTGATCGGAGTGCGGAAGTCCAGGGCTTTCACCGGGTGGCACACAGCCACGTAGCGATCCACACTCATCATGGTGAGAGTGAAGATACTGGTGAACATGTTGTAGTAGTCGATGGAGATGAAGACCTTGCAAACCACCTCACCAAAGGGCCAGGTATTCAGCAGGTAGTCGGTGCTCTGGAAGGGCATCGTGGTGGTGACGAGGGCGTCAGCGAGCGCTAGGTTGAAAATGTAAATGTTGGTGGCTGTCTTCATCTTTGTGTACCTGTTGAACATGAAGAATGGAAGAGAGAGAGCGATGACCCATCCATCCAGACCCGTCATGGCAGCCGAACATTTCTTGGCTGATTCTGTAGAAGGCCTTTCTACGTGGCTCATTGTTAATTAAACATTGTCCACTGCTTCCTTGAATGAGTAATGCAGTTTTTATGACTCACACTTCATTGTTATGTATAGAGTGCCTCTGATTGCAGGCCATGTGTAATCAACTTGTTTTCACGTCATTAAATTATGACCGCATTAAAGCTCTATGTGATTACATTTGCAAAAATTCAAGTTTTAATTTTACCAGAGGTGACGCCTACAGGATAATGAAACACTGAGATTCAAATAAGGTCCGTTCAAATATTATGATTTATAGCATTACACAAAATTGCCATGTCTCACAGGAAGTGAGGCCTTTGTTGTTAATAATAAACACTAATAAGAATAAATAAGAACAAAATTAAAAATAATAGACAAAGTTGTTAACATGTGTGCACATTTCTCGATCCACTGTAAGCACCAGACAACCTGTGCTTGTGTTATGTCTACTGTCGTCTCGAGTGCGACACAAAATAGATCACATGCAGCTTACTCAAACCTATTTTTTTCCTCTTGTTATGTATGACATAGTCGCATTACAGATTGGTGAGAAGTTAAAAGCCTTCAAATAACAGTTTGACATTTTGGAGAACACACTTATTCACGTTCTTGCAGAGAGTTAGAGGAGAAGATGAATACCACTGTCATGTTTGTCTGGTAAATATGACATTTCAGCTAATAGCATGCTAACTTAGGTTAGCATAAACACAAGGAGCCTAATGGTTGGAAAAAGCTAGCATTGCTCTGTCCAAGCTACCAGCACCTCTAAAGCTCTTTAACATGTTAAATCTTATTTGTTTAATCTGTGCAAAAACAGAAGTGTACAAAATGACAATGGTTTTAAGCTAACCACCTGCTAGCAGTAACTTTATATCTAATTAGCTGAAATGAGAGTGAAGCTTTTCATTTAACTCCCAGCAGATAAGTGAATAAGTGCAGTCCCCTGAAATATCTACATATTCCTTTGAACCTTTATTAATTGATTTTGACTTGGCCACTTGGGGTTAGCAGCAGGAAGCACAACACAGTGTATAGGTGGGGCATGTAAGTATTCATGCTTTGTTTTGGGCTCAGCATATCCTGGGGAAAGTACTTGGCTTTCTAGCTGCTAAATGCTGCAATACTTTCACCAGCTAGCCGCTGATTTCTCTGCTGTTCATTGCTGGGCAGGTAGCGTACAGTGAGTGTATCAGAGCTCTTTCAGCTGAAAACAGCTGCATGCGGTGAGAAGGAAACAACGCTGCTTAGCAACACTGAATCAAATCATAAAGTTTTGCATCATCAGACCAAAACAATCAGCTGAAAGATGGCAACAATGCTCAGTGGAGTTATTTATGTTTCAGTGTTTACTACGTGGCCTATGTTGACTTTGCAAGTTTTTGGATGATTAATTATAATTTCATATATTTGTTTACACTAAATCAACATGAACCCCTTCTTCTCTCAGTTGAATCGCCCTCCACAGAGCTACTAAATATTAAAACGTGCAGTCATTTCAGGCGACACAATCAATCTGATTTGAGGTAACTGTCGTCAATGGACCGAAGCTTTCTCGATGGCACTGCTGCATTTCACATTACATCAAAGGAGATTTGCTGCTCTCACACACCATAAATAACACCCAATGAGCTGCAAGCAGGCTATCAGCTTGATAAAGCACCACTGGTTTCAACTATAATTAATATCACGTCCACCAGACTATGTAGCTGATTTATAGTTTATTGTTATTATATTATATTGGAGGTCTTGAGGGTTATTGGATTCATAAAATGGGCAACGTTGAAGGTTTTGGCCACTTCTTAACCAGTGAAGGAGGCAGAAATCAATTCCATATGGCCATGCTTTACACATTTAATGCCGGATGAGAAATGACAGCATTAATCTTAACCCTTGCAACTCCACTATTGTCTCTTGTCACTTACTAGCTCAAAGATTTATCTACTTTAGACATTACATACGGATACTTACTGCATAAGTGGATATCAGAGCAACATCTCTTGTCTCTGAAGTACCTGTCTGTAGTGTGCATCCAAGAACAGAAGGCAGGCACAATAAGGCGTACTCCGATATAGACCAGATGGCCTAGAGGTCATTGTAAAAGTCCAAGGGTTGGTGCCAGCGCCTCCTCCACAAGCATTAATATTTACAAAGGGTGTGTAGGAACGCCTGGAACTCTATTTATGTTTTTTATCACCAACAAAAATATTGCATGATTAGACTTTTCTGCATATGCCAAAAGAGATTTCCCCATAAATAAATCTCATTTTCCAAAACATCTCCCCATCAACAAAGTTCAAGCAGCCACTTCATTTGCTACTTTAAATCACTGTAAGTAATATCTATGAGTATTTCTCAGTAGCCTATATCATAAAGAATATGTAAGGAAAGATTTTCTCATATTTAATTACAACTTACCTAACGATGACATACATGACGAGGCAGTTGCCCAACAAGCCGACCACAAACACCACGGAGTAGACTGCAGTGATGATGGGGATGATGGGAGACATGCTCTCCTGCTCCCAGCTCTCATTGTGGGTCACGTTGCGGCTCTCTGAGTATCCGGACACCCAGGCTGAGGAATTGACTGGACAGTCCTCCGGAAGCGTAGAGAGGCACTTATTGTCTTCTTTGAAAATTTCAACCGGAGTGCTTTCCATTTTTATACCTGTGTGTTCAGCTGGGGGAAAAAAGTGGATAACTGGAAAAAAAAATGCATTCAGAGATTGAAAAACGCGTGTAAAGCAACATTTCATTCCCAATGAAAATGAAAACGTAGGACATGCACAAACTTCACTTTGGTTCAGGAGCCAGTTGATCATGCAAAACAGTCGGAAATAAACACAGAGCGTCAGCCGTTCAGGAAAAATGCGCACTGTGAACATCAGCTGGCAGGTTACTCACCTTTTATCAACCCGAATTAGCGGGCGCTCCCTTTAAGATACCCTGTGTTTATATGTTTTAAAAGCGTGTCCTCCCAGTTATCACTCAGCCCGGCTTGTTTTTGTTGCCTTGGTGAAGCTTACAGCTCGTCAAAGTTTGTGGATGATACTGCGCGCCTGGAGAGGAGCAGCCAGCGGCTTTGCGGACGCTCGTGCACACGCACCGATGGAGAGGCGGCGCGCAATGCAATCAAGCTAGACCCCAGCGCGCGCACACGCACATGCACGCACACACACACACACACACACACACACACACACACACATACACACACGAGCTTCACCCAAAATAAGAGATGACAGAGCGATGACAATAACCCGCAGGCAGACACACGGCTTCCCACAGTCTTATGTCACAGGAGTAAAAGCTGGAGAACATTATTAACAACGAGGTCCCTGATAATTCTGTGTTGGAGATGTTTAAAGAGGAAACGCAATGATTAAAATTACATTTCAAAGAAACTGTCCTCTGAGGATGTACAGTCCTCACAAATCTAAACACATCGTCTCGTCCATGTCTCAGCAGCTCTAATGTTATAAAAACACATTTTCTTTAAAGGAAATTTGGCTCAATTTTTGTATTTTCTCTTTCTATTAAAACCTGAGAGTGAGACAGAGGTGAGGAAAGGCATGGGAGATGATATTCAGCCGCAGGGTCGTAACTGGACACAGCACTGCACATTTTCACAGGGCATTTCTGCTTTAGTGGAAAGAGTACAATAACAGGGGCAGGAAGAGGGACATGATATATGAGCAAGGTCCAACAGAGGCAGAATTCAAACCAGCCAAACCAGCCAAACCAGCAAGCAGGATGACCCTTCATTTCACCTTTTAAGTCAGTCTTAAAAGTAAATGCTAGCACCTCAGCCTTGGATCTCAGGATTTTGCTGTTTTATTAACATAAATTAAATTCTCTTGATTTTTTTTTTAAGAGCAAACTGTTGAATGTTTTATCTCTGGCTTTTTAAAAACATGCAGATTTTTGTTTAAATACATACAGAGTAGTGGTGTTCTTAACTCTGCACCTCCAGCCTCATGTATCAAGCTTTGTTCTCTGTTTTAAAGGAACTCCTGCAGTGTGGTGCCAAGAAGCAGGCTCTCCTTTATCCTGCAAGACTATAGCACCACAGGCTGTTAGTGAACTAATGATGGCTGGTGAAGTATGTTAGCTGGCACAAATTGCACAAATGTGTGAGGAGCATCTGACGGAACAAATATAAACAGTAAAACAACTGGAGACTAATGCACACAAGAGATAGAAATGATAAAAAATGAAATGATGATGTCAATAAACAGTAAATGGATAAGCGACAATAACAAATTAAAGGAAATGCAACATTTTGAAACATGAATTATCTAAAAATAAATCACATTTAAACAATGGACCTCTCTGCAGTCTAACTGGCCCAAGACACAAGTATAGAGTATAAAATTAAATAAATGTTTCATAAAAAGCAAAATTATTTTTATTTGGTGTAACAGAAGCTTAATGGTCATTTCTGTATTTTGTCACTTTTCATCAAATGTGCAAGCTCAGTTTGTGTCTAAAGAAAGGTTTGTTTTACTATATTTGTACAAAATTGGTTTTAATGAAGTCATAAAGAAAGAAAAAAAATATCTAAAGGATTAAAATTGATTGATTTTGCAGTTAACAAATACAGCACAGGGTCTGTGGTGTCCTGAGGGAGTAAAGCCTTTAACATACATCATCACCTGGACACATCATCAGTGATGTTTCATGGGGTCGTCGGGTGGTTCAGGTCTTTTAACATCGGACACCCTCTCCGTGGTGAGGTGATCAAACCCCGGCTTGTACAGTCCCCAGTTTTCCTCTCCTGAGCCACAGCCGCCCGCCTTGAAGCAACTGTTAAGTTGCTTAAGCTGCTAAGTTGTTTATTGTTGTCTTATCTTTTTATGTGATAATGATTATAATGTGTGTGTGTGTTGTTTTTTTCTTTTGACAGCCTCACTTATTTTTGTTCATTTCATCTCCTCCTTTAGAAGCCTATATGTTGCACAGCATTACATTATATCATATTCTGCAGTTCTATCGAAGACAGCAAACCTTAAGGCCGCACTGACTCATGCATTACATCAGACTAAACACAAGAAAACTTACAGATGTTTACATTAGATGCTTTAGGGCGCCGCTTTGTGTGAATACTATATTGGATCATGATGCGAGTCATCAGTCGGCGAAGTGGCCAGTCGACTACAGCTGATGTCTGGGGACATAAAAAGGTCTCATTTGTTGAGTCCTCAAGGCTCCCAGAGGCCATGGCTCTGTGAGCTTTTGCCAGTAATTATGGTGAACATAAGACAAAAAAAACCCCAATGAAAAGTCAAAAGTCATTATTGCAGAAAAAGAATAATTTAAACAGTTTGGTACTGACTCAAACTAAGTAATGAATGAGCTCATTTCTGCTCTGGGTGTCTGCTTCCATTACATTTCTTTATAGTCAGGAAAATCTCTGGGTGGCAATCGGGTCAATGACTTGGAGCTCAACTTATTCAAGTTCAGGAAATAGGAAAGTGTTCAGATATATTTTATTATTCACCCACAGTATAATAATGAATTATGGATTTATTTTGAAATATAAAACTCACATGAAATTACAACTTTAAACACAAAACTGTTATGCTCATGAATGTTTGCGTGCACTCTTTGTGAATGTTGACTTTTAAATGTGTGGAAGGAAAAGTAAGTGTAGTCAGTGTAAACAGAAGCTGGAGAAATTTGCCTGTCTGAAGTTTTCATTGTGCTGAATGATAATTACCGTCACGCTCAGGTTTTGGAGAATCAATAGCACGACTCAGAGACGCTGGTAAAAGTTTGAAACAGTTCACCTTTATTGAGGCGACAAAAATTGCACAATTCAAATTTTGTAGTGACAGCTCCACAAGTCAATACTTCATTCGTCTTCCATAGAGTCGCTGATTTTATATCAAATACGCCAACTTTCTCCTTGATTTCTAGCTTCAGGTAACACTGCTACAGACTGACTGAGCTGCCTTGAGGCTCAGAAACAACGGGTCAGTTATTCAAAGAGGGTAAAAAAAAGATTTGGTTTTATCTTTAGTTGGGATATTTTTTGTCAGATGGCCAAAATTAACAATTGTATACATGTACTTGCCCCCTCTTTTTTCACATTCATATGCACACACATGCACACGTATACACATATGAAGACCCTGACTCTGCAAAACATTAACTTTATTATGTATTAGCTGATATAACTTGCATGAAGCCGGATTTGTATTATCTATTTTCTGATTTGAAATATAGTCTTTTCTTCTACTGAAGTTAGCATGCTAACCAGCTAGCCCTGAACCGTCTCGTCACTTTCCGATAGGGACTCACTGTAGCCTCCAGTCTGCCTTGAAGACATAGTGCTGCTCAGAGGGCGTATTATAACCTCATCTTGTAAATGCAATGATGGCTGAAGCTCTTGTCAAGCCACGATCACCACCACCAGCATCCAGCATGAAACCACGTTTGGCTGCAGGGAAAACTTGCAAATGGCCCCTTTCTCAAACAAATCAGATGGAAAAGATGTGTCTAATTTAGCTTACAAATGATGTTCATGGCTTAATGACACATATGCAATAATATATCTGCTCTAAATTCATTCTCAAAGAAGATAAATGTTTGGATTGATAACCTAATACAATCAGAAGCTGAGGGTTGCCAGATCACAGTCGAGTATCCCCCATATCCCAGTCTGTCACTTTGTGTCATAATGAACATTTTGCAGAAAACACACAAACCTGGCAACTCTGCATCTGATCGTTTGATATTTGTAAAATTATTGTTAGGGACAATTCTGCCCTACAGTAACAGAAACTTCCATCACATCAGTGAGTCTGAAGCTAAATCAGATGTGGGATCAATTGTTCATCTGCTGTGTACAAACAGTAAACCCCCTGTGGAAGATTATTTGAGAATTACAAGGGTCCACCTGTCATCACACAGGTTGCACAATGAAGTAGACCAGAACCATGTTTTGTGAGATCACAGATGATACTGACCTTTGACCAACAACATCTAATAAGTTCACGCTTCAGTACGAGTGAACGTTTCTACCAAATCTGAAGAAATTCCCTCCAGGTGTTACAAGAACAGGACGGACAACGCCCGAAAAACACAACGCCTCCGGCCACAGCCGTCACCAGGTCAAAAAGACTTACTATCAGAAAGGAGTATCATGGTGATGATGTGATGTGACACGTCTGTATTGAGTATATAGTATATAGTAAATATAGTGTAGTAGGTGGAGCAGGGGGATGCATGAGCCGCCAGTTGTCAATCATTTCAAATTGAAATTTTGTCCAGATGATGATGATGATGATAATCCAGAGAAAAAAAAGTGATGAGTCAAGGGATTACAGTTCATCCTGAGGGAAACATGAATGTCTGGCATGTAAATTTCATGGGAATCAGTTTATTGGTTGTTGAGACATTTTACTTACATTAAAAGCACCAAAGTCAGGGTGGCACTAGATGAAAAGTTGGGTGATCATCAAGTCACTAGGGTAACATCCTCTCTGGGAAGTCTGACCCCGACATCGCACTTTGTGATTTACTTGCACTGGTGACATTTATATAAACAGATCAACACGTGAATTTAATTTTTAAAGCTTAGATGTTGTGCTGGTAAAAGTCGATTGTTGCTTTAATCTACTGTAGACCCCCTGCTGTGAACATCTGTACACATCTG